ACTTTGTCACTGTCTCTAGGCCCCTGGCCCCTTTCTCTTCTCCCAGGTCGTTAGACTCTTCCAGCTTCCTTTGCCTCCCAGTCACATCCAGATACTCTCTGTGCTGTGGGCTCTGCCTTCTTTTTCTTTGTCTCAACTGATCCTCACGGCTCGTGAGACTGGAAGGGGTGCCTCACTAATAGCCTCTTCTAATCTCAGTCAAGTGCTCCCTTCTCTGTTGTGTTAGTTACAATCACAGTGGCTACCATAACAAAATCAGCATTTCAGTAGCTTAACACAGTAGAGGTTTGTTTTTCTTTCTGTAATGGTGCAGGAGGGTGTTCCTGGTTCCTGGTGGCTCTCGTCCATGTGAGATTCAGGCCCAGGCCCCTCTCCTTCCTGGAATTCTGTTATCCTTGAGCATCAACATCCTTGGCCTGTCCAGTTGGGGAACAGGAGAGGGAAGGTAGACAAGGCTTTATTGCCTTGGACCGAAAGTGATGTACATCGCTTTTGCTCAAGTTTCTCTGGTGAGAACTTGTCGCAGCTGTCACCCCATGCAGTAAGCTGAGAAATGGTCAGCTTAGTGGATAACTGCTTCCCAGCAACAACTCTGCACAGGGGCCGGTGCACAGATTTTGGTGGGCAGTTTGCCACCTTTGATAGAGCCACGGGGATGAAAACCAGGAGGTTCCAGGGTGATGGTAGTCAGAGGAAGATGAGGCAGGAGACATGGCTGCAGAATGCACCATCTGCCAAGGCTTTCTAGAGCCTTTAGCAGCCCTTGCATATCCCCCACCATCTCCAGTGCCACCTCTCCCACAGGATGTACCCCCAACTCTGCAGAGAGAAAATGGGGCCTCCCACTATGTTGTCCAGTTCTTTGTCCTGCCACCTCAAGGTTGGTGTCCTTGTTATTCTTGTTCTTCTAGTGCTTTGCTTTCCCTCTCATTTCTCCGTCCCCAGCAGTTTGCCTCTTGATCTCATTACCAGAAATGCCTCTGCACAGGGCACCTGTGTTCTTTCCTAAATCCTCATCTTCCCGGACCCCCTGCCTGAGTCTTTGGAACGACCCTCTTCTTTGTGAAACCCCTTTGTCACTTGACTTCACTTTTATGGTCTTCTGTTTTCAGGCTCTTAATTGTATGTGTTCCTAGTTTCTATCCTTTTCCCCTAGTTTTACTGAGATACAATTGACACATAATATTATGTGAGTTTCAGGTGTACAACATATTGTTTTGATATATTGTTGTGATATGTGTTGTGAAATGACCACCACAATTAGTTCAGTTAACATCCATCATCTCATGTAATTACAGATTTTATTTTTCCTTGTGATGAGAACTTTTAAGATATTTTCTCTTAGCAACCTTTAAATATACAACTCAGCAGTGTTAACTGTAGTCAGTGTGCTGTATGTTACATTCCCAGGACTTTATAACTAGAAGTTTGACCACCTTTTGACCACTTTCACCTAATTCCTCCACCTCCCCATCCCACCACTCACCTCTGACAACCACCATTCTACTTTCTGTATCCATGAGTCTGGTGTTTTAGATTCCACATATAAGTGAGATCATACAGTATTTGTCTTTCTCTGTCTTATTTCACTTAGCCTAGTGCCTTTAAGCTCCATCCATGTTGTCTCAAATGGCAGGATTTCCTTCTTTTTGTGGCTGAATAATATTCCTCCGGGGCTGGGGGTGTGTATATATACACACTACATTTTCTTTATCCATTTATCCATTGATGGACACCTAGGTTATTTCCCTGTCTTGGCTACTATAAATAATTCTGCTGTGAACTTAGAGGTGCAGATAACTTTTTGAGTTTTGGTGTTTTTGTTTTCTTCGCATAAATACCCAGAAGTGGAATTGCTGGATCATATGGCAGTTCTGCTTTTAATTTTTTGAGGAACCACCATACTGTTTTCCATAGTGGCTGCACCAGTTTATATTCCATCCAACAGTGCACCTGGGTTCCCTTTTCTCCACATCCTTGCCAACACTTGTTATTTCTTGTCTTTTTGATAATAGCCATTCTAACAGGGGTGAGGTGATAGCTCATTGTGGTTTTGATTTGCGTTTCCCTGATGATTAGTGATGTTGAGCACCTTTTCTTGTACCTGTTGCTCCTCTGTATGTCTTCTTTAGAAAAATATCTGTTCAGATCCTCTGCCCATTTTTTTTTTATTTTTTTTAAGATTTTATTTTTTTCCTTTTTCTCCCCAAAGCCCCCCAGTACATAGTTGTATATTCTTCATTGTGGGTCCTTCTAGTTGTGGCATGTGGGACGCTGCCTCAGCATGGGTTAATGAGCAGTGCCATGTCCGCGCCCAGGATTCGAACCAACAAAACACTGGGCTGCCTGCAGCGGAGCACGTGAACTTAACCACTCGGCCACGGGGCCAGCCCCCTTTGCCCATTTTTTAATTGGGTTGTTTATTTTTTTGCTATGGAGTTCTATGAGTTATTTATATATTTGCATATTAACCCCTTATGAAATATGTGACTTTCTAATATTTTTTCCCACTCAGTAGGTCGCCTTTTCATTTTCTTGATTTCTTTGCTGTGCAGAAGCTTTTTAGTTTGATGTAGTCCCACTTATTGATTTGTTTTGTTGCCTGTGCTTTTAGTGTGAAATCTAAAAAATCATCACCAAGACCCACGTCAAGGAACTTTTCCCCTCTGTTTTCTTCTGGGAGATTTATGGTTTCAGGTTTTATGCTTAAATCTTGAATCCATTTCAAGTTAGTTTTTGTGAATGGTGTATCACAAAAGGGGGTCTGGTTTCATTCTTCTGCATGTGAATATCCAGTTTTCCCAGTACCATTTATTGAAGAGACTGTCTTTTCTCCATTGAGTCTTCTTGGCCCTGGTTTTTATCCTTGATCTCTTCTCTCTTCTCCTCTCTCTCCCTCTCTCTCCCTCCCCCTCTGTCTCCTTCTGTCTCTGTGTCTCTCTGACTTGCTTCCCTCTCTCCCTCAGTAGGCTCGTCCCCTTTGTAATCACTTCAGTTTTTGCTGCAGAGATGACTCTTGAAACTATCTGCATAGTCCTCTCACTCCATTGTCTTGTCAGTCTCAGTCTGTCATTTCCATCTTCCTAGACATGTGACTTGGTGTCTTGCCAACACCTCAAATTTATGCTCAAAATTGAACTCATCACCTGGCATAGCTGTTTTTCTCCAGTTTTCTCTTCTTGCCAACTTTATAAGCATTTGCCCTCAGAGATGTTCAAACCTGAGCATTGCCATCAACTCCTTCCCCCACCCCAGTGAGCTGTCTCACTTCCTAGACTCTCTTTTGACTTCTTCTCTCTGTTTATAGGGACACTGCCCTCCAAAGGCCAGGTGAACTTTCCAAACAGCCTTCCAACAGCAACAGCAGCCCCAGGTGGTGGTCATTTGCTCTGCCTGGCCCCCTGCTTAGCCTTTTTCTTGAGTTTTATGATTCAATCCTTATTGCAGCCCTGTGAGCAGCTACTGCTCTTAATTCCATTTTACAGATAAGGAAACTGAGACCCCAGGTAATGGACGGCCAGAGACATCAAGTAGTAAATGGTAGAACCATGATCTGATTTCAGAGCCTGCAGTGACGCTCAGTCACCTGGAACCAGCTCTGACCATAATTTCCTGACACCTGTTCGGTAAAACCCCACATTCCTGGTGTCTCATTCCCCATGCTCCTGGCCTGGCTCTAGTATTCCTTCCGGGCAGTACCTGCCTCTGCCCTCGTGTCCATTGACCCCACAGAGAAGGACCAGGCCAGGGCTGGGTTGGCTGGAGGTGGGCACCGCTCACCATGAAGCAGCCCGAGAGAACCCTGGAAATGGGGCTAGAGACAGGACAAGCATTTGAAATCTCCTCGTTGGGATTTTTTTCTGATGCCCTGCTTTTGTTGACTCTCGTCCTTTGTCTCAGGTCATAGGTGTAACCAGTCATGAAGCAGTGAGGAGAAGTCTGTAGTCTGTTTTTGCCTGTGTTAGGACCCTTTTACGTTTGGGATGTGTTGAAACTCAAATCAGAAATAAGATTTTGACTCTCCAGCACTGATGCTAGGAGACCAGGATACAGGGGACAGGTTGCCCTTGGCCAGCTCCCATCCATGCCTTGTCTTGCTGCCTCCCCTGTTGTGCTTTGCAGTGTACACATCTCTGTGTTCTTGGGGTGGGGGCCAGCTCATGTGAAGCCATGGCAGGGTGGAGAGAGAAGCATGTTGAGCTGACTTTGTGCCTATCCGAAAGAGAGGATAGAATGATATCATTAATTCCCAGAGGGGATTTTTCTAGGCCCTGAAAAGGATGCTGTGGAGAGACTTGAGGGCAGAGTCCATCTGGGTTGCTGCTGGTATGCCTGTGCTGAGTGTGGGTGGCTGACCGTGTGGCTGCCCCGCTCCACGATGCTCATGTGAGTGTGAAGGCCGCCTGGCCCTTGGCTCTTGGTAGCTTGCAGAGCATGAGGTGGGGACCGATGTGGAGCACTGACTGCTCTTCTTTCTTCTTTCGTGATGGTTCACGTGACGTCTTGTAGTTTCTGCCCCTGAGTTCTTGGCAAGCTAAGGAGCCATTTATTGTGGCAGGAGTGGGGTGTGGTAAGGGCCCTGCTGTCTCCCTCGTGCAGCTTTGGCTCAGTCCTCTGGAGGCCCCATTGTCCTGGTTGCAGTGACCTGTGGCGCCAAGTGTTGGCCACTTCCTTCTTGGTGCAGCTGCATCCACTGTCACAGCACAAGGGAGACCCTTGGCTCAGAGCTCCTGGAGAACCTGGTAATATCAGTGAGAGAAAGATGTGGGAGAATAAGAAGGTTAGCTTCCTTGGCTGCTCCATTAAATAAGCAGAATATCTGTTATTTTGCTTAGAAAACTTAGAATTTTCTAAGTGCCATATGCTTTGAATATGTAAGTGTAGGAAAGAACCGTGTGTTTATCTTTTTTATGTGAAATCTTCTTGTAGCTGCAAAGTGCTGGACCACGAGCAACAAGGAGATTTCCCCTTAATCAGTTTTACTCTTGGTTTGTTTCTAGGAATGTTCCGGAGAATCACAGCAGCTGCCTCTAGACTCTTCACTGCTGACGGCGCCGATAGCAGTTTCTACGGCCTGGAGAGCTTGAATGCGCGGGTGCGCTCCATGGTCCCCACACACCCGGCCCTGGTGCTGCTCTGGTGTCAGATCCTGCTGCTTGTCAGCCACACTGACTACCGCTGGTGGGCAGAGGTGCAGCAGACCCCCAAGTACGTCCCATGCTCCCTGGGTGGCCCAGAAGGCCAGCCCAGGGCTATGTGCTGAGACTCTCAGCAGCTTGAGGTTTGGCCCCATTTTCATGAGGTTTTGTAGAGATTCTGCAGATTAATCTTTCTTTCATGGACATATATTGTAAGGAAAAAATATGGTCTGACTAAAGGCATTCAAAATAGCCGCTGCTTTTTAAATGTGATGTCTTTGACAAGTTCTTTGATACTGTTCCATCTTGTGGGTCATTCTTGTCATGCTGTGTCCCTCCTGCTAGGTTCTTGTCCTTAAATTGATTCCAGAGCCAGACACGTTGCAATGGCTTAACTATATTGTAAGTTAAATATGGTTCTGTTTATTCTTAGATATTGAAGTAATTATTTAGCAGCATTTTAAAACTGCTTGGAAATACCTTATTTTTTTTTTTTTTATCATTTGAAAAGACTTAAGTATCTGATTGCACTTGGCCCTCTTTTTGTAAAAAGTTTTTAGGTTTAAACCTCAATTTCTAGGCACTCACTAACTCAGACATTTGTACATGTGTGGAAATAAAAGCTTTGATACCCACCTCCCCCCAGCTGAGTTCTCAGTGCAATGTTTCTGGAAAGCTCAAGAACCCATGGCAAGGAGAGAAAGCTCTGGAAATAAGAGACTGCAGGGGCTGCAGCATTAAGGTCAACTCCTCTCTTGTCAGTGTGGAAAGATTGAGCTGTGTGAGGCTGTGGGTCCCTTTTGGGCCAGTCTGTTGCTTTCAGCTGGAAAATCCAATGTTAGCAGATGTTATTAAACATCTGCCCTGTGCTTTGTGTTGTAGGACATGCAAAGGAAAAATAATGGCTGTTTCCTGCCCTCAGAGTGCTTACAGTTGAGTTGGGGAAAACAGACCAGTGAAAACGTTTGAAATACTTATAAATTACTGATAAGTAATATAGGAGTCAGGAACAGAAAATCAGTGTCTTCTGCTTTACTGCTTCTTAAATGTGCATATAAATCAACTGGGGAGCTTATTAAAATCAGATTCTGATTCAGGAAATTGCTAGTGAGGCCTGGGACTCTGCATCTCTGCCAGGCTCCCACATGGTGCCCATGCCCTGGTCCATGGAGCATGCTCTGAGCAACAAGGCCCTGAGTCCTTGAGGAGTGTGCCTCAGAGCCACCAGGGGGCCTGTTCCAAGGACCAAGATTGTACTCCAGCCCATGGCCAGACGTAATGGCTGGGCATTTTAGGAATTGGTTTCCTGGGCTCTTGTGTTTTTACAGGCACCTCAGGAGACTGCCATGGGCACCCAAGGTTGAGTCATACTGGGCAAGGAAGGCTTGGTGGGGTGGGACTTGAGTTAGCTGTGAGTGCTAGCAGATGTTGGGTGGGCAGACAGAGGTGAGCAGGCATCCACCACCCAAATGGGCACCTGCCCCAGTGAACCCCACCTCCTCCTCCCCCTCCCCTTTCCTCTTCCCCCTTCCCCTCTCCCCGTCTCTTCCTCTTCCTTCTTCCTTTTCCTCCTCTTCCCTCACCTCTTCCCCTGCTCCTCTTCCTTTCTTCCTCTTCTCCTCCACCTCCTCTTCCCTCTTTCCTCATCTTCCTCTTCCCTAGTTCCTCTTTCTTCCTCCTCCCTCACCTCCTCACTTCCCTCCTCCTCCTCTCCCTTCTTCTCTCCTCTTCCTCCTCTTTGAGAGATGGTGGGTGGTGAGAGCAGAAGCTGAACTGGAGCAGGTTCAAGAGGAAGTCAGAGGGTCGACCCCAGTCTAAAGAGGAGGGAGCAGTCAGACTCACCCAAATGGAGGGGGCCTCCATGGAAGTACTCACCTGGACTCTCCAGAAATGTCAGGCAGTGTCATAAAGACAAAGAAGTGTTTGCTTAGATGAAAAAAACCCAGAAGAGACATGACAGACAAATGCAATTTTATGATCCTTGATTGTGTTTTGGGTCTGGGGGATAAAACAGCTGGAAAGGACATTATTGGGATAATGGGGGAAATTTGAATGTGAGCTCTATGTAACCTGTTGTGTGTGTGTCTTGTGGTTTTGAGTAATACTTAGGGGACACCTGCTGAAGTATTTAGGGGCTGAAGTGTCTTAACCTGCAGATTACTCTCAAAGGTGCAAGCAGAAAAAAGTGCGTGTGTGTAGAGTTTTTGTGTGCATAGGTAGAGTGTGTGCATGCATGTGTGTAGAATGTGCGTTTGTATAGGATACATGTGTAGAGTGCATTGTGCATGTGTACAGTGTGTGTGTATATAGGGTGTGTCACAAGCACAAAAGTGGCAATATATTAGTTGAATCTAGGTGAAGAGTATATGACTGGTCATTGAATTATTCTTTCAGTTTTTCTATTGGTTTGAAAGTTTTCAAAATTAAAGTTAAGGAAAAAAGATTATGGAAAAAGACATTTTAGACAGCAACTCTAGACACTTCTTAGGAGGAGCTTTGCTCTACAGGGGAATAGAGGCGTGGGAAATGGGGTCATGAGAGTTTCTAGATGAGAGAAATCATGGTATGGGTGATTATGTTGAGAAGCCAGAGCTGGGGGATTGAATGAAGAATATGCAGATTAGGACCTGATGAATGAGGGGCACAAGCCACCCACACGGGGTTGGCGGGCAGATCGAGCTCCCACTTTGGGAAAGTGAAACCCATGGGTCGTTTTGATTGACAGTGCAATTTCAGTGCATGCACACGGAGGAAGGAGAGTCACAAGACTTATTACTTACAGATCCCAGAACAGGGTGTGGGGTGGGGTATAACATGCAGATGATGAGCCAGCAGGAGACAGAAAGCAGGGTAGCAAGTACCTGTTATTTATAAGGTGGTTGGGGCGGAGGTCACTAACTCTTCGTGGGCTCAACTCTTAAGTGGTCATTTTTAAAGGTGCCCCAGGAAAAGCAAAACGGGAACTTAACGGTGGGCACCTTAGCTAAGCTCAGGGCCTTCTCTAAACGTCCAGACTCAGTGCGAGCAGGTTATACTCTGAGATGCCGAGGCAGCAACTCCGAATGGTGGCTTTCTCATCACAGTGATCCCTTACAGACGAGAGGGTTATCCTAGAGTTGGCAAGAGCGGATGGGATCTAGGGCACAGACACTGGCTTTATTATGTTGATTTAGTTTTTGTTAGCTTTTTAGGGTAGAACATACAGTTTCTTGATTTCCCTCCAGATATTAGTAGAGATGGGAAATCCGTTGCTTCTCTGTTCTTTGCTCGGTAATCGCCTCCTCAGGGAAGCCTTCCTGACTTCTCTTTGATCTGTGAAGTCTCACTATCTGCTCCACCCCAGTCTTTGTCTCTCCTTTGTGGCAAATGTCAAGGCTGTAATTTATTTGTGTGATCATTTGGTTAATGTCTGTCTTTCCCTCTAGACCATAAGCCCCGTGAGGGCTCCCACTGTCTTCCCAGCACTAACATGAGCTAGTGATTTAATTACCTTCATAGTAATAGAAACAATGATAATATATTAGTAAAGACGTTTTACATATAGATTGCTACCATGTCTATGGCGTTAAGCGCCAGATACTGTTCTAAGGGCTTTCTGTCATAATAAGTTATCAAAACCTCCAGTAGTACACGCACACCATAGATGAGGAAACGTCTTTTCCGAGAGAAGTTAAATAACATCACAAGTTAATAACGTGTATGTGCACATGCTCCCCCAACTCTACTCTTTTCAGCTGTTACAGCTTATACTATCCTTCCTAATGATACTGTGTTTTGTTGCTTTAGCATGATTTTACCAGACTCTCTTTCTTCCTTGATTGGGCAGGTAGGCTATTTCTAAACCTTTTTACAGCTATATATGGAGTACCTTTGTCTCTTAAATACATCTGTCTACACACACACACAGAAATCTTGGTTCTTGTTCTTTTCTGGTATATTTTTAGAATATTTTTCCAACAAGAGATATTATTAGATTCAAGGATAATACCTATTTTGTGATTAGTCAGTTTCCCCATTACCCAGCTCTTATTGAACTAGTAATTTCAATCATTTTAGTAGTATGCTATCTATAGTGAAATATCACATAATTGTTATTTGTTTCTGGTTTTTTTCTATTTTGTTCTATTTTCTAGTTTATTTTAAAATTTTTGTGACTATTTTAATACTAATTAAAATCTTTTGTATAGTAAAATTTATATGCAATAAAATGCACTTCTTTTAACTGTCCAGCTAGGTGAGTTTTGACAAATATATACACCAGAATTAGGACATAATGAAGTCTGTGATTTCCCTTGGTTAATACTTAGGAGTGGAATTGTGGAGTTATGTGGTAAGGATATGTTTAGCTTTAAAAGAAACCGCCAAACTGTTTTCCGAGTGATTGTACGAAAGACAGTGTATGAGAGTTCTGATTACTCCAGATCCTAACCACCGCTTGGTAATACAAGTGCTTTTAATTTTAGCCGTTCTAATGGGGGTATAGTGGTGCTTTGTTGTGGTTTTAATTTGCATTTCTCTGATGCTAATAATGTTGAGGATGTTTTCATGTTCTTATTGTTCATTCATCTGTCTTCTCTTGTGAAGTATGTTTTCAAATATTTTTACCAATTTTTAAAATTTGGCCATTCGTTGTCTTGTTATTGAGTTGTGATTCTTTATATATTCTGGGTGTAAGTCCTTTGTCATACGTTGTAAATGTTTTCTCTCATTCTGTGCCTTGCCTTTTTGTTTTCTTAATGGTTTCTTTCAAAGAGCAGAAGTTTTAAATTTTTATGAAATCCAGTTTGTCGATATTTTCTATTTCATTCTTTTTCTGTCCAATCTAAGAAATCTTTGGCTACCTTAAGATCATGAAGATTTTCTCCTATGGTTTGTTCTGGAACTTTTCATAGCTTTAGTTTTTACCATTTTGAGTTAACTTTTGTGTATGACAGAACGTAGGGATAAAGAATCATTTTCCCCCCATATTATAGTTCTTTTAGTATTATTTGTTAAAATGACTGGCCTTTCTCTTTTGAATTACCTTGGCACTTTTCTCAACAATCAATTGAATCTATTTGTGTGAGCCTTTTTCTGGACTCACTGTTAATTTCCATCTCTCTGTCTATCTGTCTGTCATGTTAATGCCATTAATGCTTAATTACTTTAGCCGCATAGCAAATCTCAGGCAGTGTAAGTTTTCCAACTTTGTTCTTCATTTTCAAAATAGTTTTGGCTCTTTTAGGTTCTTTGTATTTCCATATCTATATTTTAGAATCAGGTTGTAAATGTCTACAAAAAAGCCTGCTGGGATTTTGATTGGGATTACAGTGAGTCTGTAGATTAATTTGGAGAGATTTGTCATCTAACTAATATTGAGTCTTCCAGCCTTTGACGTGGTCTATCTCGCCATTTATTTAGGTCTTCTCTAATTTGCCACAACATCTTATAGTTTTTAGTGTACAAGTAAATTTATAAAATTTGCAAAATTTATAAAAAATCAATTTGCCCCTAAGTATGTCATGTTTTAGAATGCTATTTTAAATGATACTTTAATAAGTATTTCGTTTTCCCATGGTGTGTTGCTAGTGTATAGAAATGCACTTGGCTTTTATATATTGACCTCATATCATAAGATCATGCTAAACTCAGTCCTTCCTGTACCCTTTTTGTGGGTACCCCTTAGGGTTTTCTGCGTATGTGAGCACAGCATCTATGGATGAAGACCCTTTACATCTTTCTTTTCCATCCATATGCCCCTTGTTTTTGTTTTCTGCCTCAGGATGCTGACCGAACCCTCCAGGATGGGGCTGGCCTTCTGTCTGTGTGTTTCTCTTAGGGTCCACGGATGTCTCTTCCTTAATTGTTCTTGGAATGTTTTACTTCAGGGAACTTTCCTGTTTGGTCTTTAGTTGGGGGGAAAAGATGGACTTTTCTTGATAGCATTTAGGACACAGAAGCTGCAGAGGTTATGAATTGCAAACATTTCACTTAACTTTTTAAAAAAGCTGATTTAGTCATTGGACTTAAATGCTTGAAAAATCCAAACAGTCTTGAAAGCTGATTAGTGTCAGAAGCTGCATTTTCCCCTTTTGCTCCAGGAACATTGTACGTGGAGCATCTCCCGTGGCCTGGGCGGCTTCCAGCCAGCCGGGTGTGTGGGAAGAGTCCCTGTTGTGGCCCGCCATGCTCCATCTGTGCCTTTCTGTATGTGTTTTGGTTCTTTTTGTGTTTGGTAGGAATTTAACCTACCAAGTTATTCTCCATCAACTCTGGGATGCCCCTGTTCAGACTACCCACTCCTTTTCTGACATGTGTACCTTTGTTTAGTCTGATGTTATATCAGAAACCTTTGGATCTAGGAATTGTGTCCCTGGGATTGGAATAACAGAAATACTTGAATAGACAGTCGGTGTTTAAAAGAAACGAACCAAAAGCAAATATAGTCTAGAATTTGGCAGGTGTCCCCATTGAGCTGTTTGAGGGCAAACTACAGTTTTTCATAAATGTAGATGGTTTACTCTGTGACAGTTTTTCTTGACACTACCTGACTCAGTTTCCCTTTTTATAACATTTTGTATTGTCCCCCTCTATTATCCTGAAATAAAATTAATGGATTCTATAATCTATCTATACTTAAATTTCATAAAAATATAATGTCTTAATGCTAATATAAAGGTAAAAATTAAAAGAAAAAAGTATATAATAAGTATTTTAGTGCCCAAGTGCTTAAAGTACCCCTATGTTAGAAGGAAAAACACTCCCACACATGTCGAAAACACCCCTAGCGAGCAGAGCTGTTCCTGTTTAAACCTCTGTTCTAGGGTGGTGTTTCTCCAGCTGTGTTGTAGACATGTCTTTTTGTTTCCAAAAGATAATAAAAATGAATTACTAAAAGTACAAAATATGAAATACAAGCCATTATTTTTTATTGTAGACTCAGCCGATAGGGAACCACTCTGTCAGATTGTTACAGAAGACTCCTGCTGGGCTTGGGGCAGGCTGGCTCACCAGTGAGCCCAGCTCCTGGCCACGCTGGGCAGCACTGTTCCAGGAAGCACCCACGGCCACAACAGCAGGGTTTGCTCTTGTCTGCTTCTTATTTTCAGGACTGTGTCATCATAGGCTTATGATTTGCTCTCGGTCTGTCCCATGTTTAGTGGATTGTTAGGGTCCTGCACGTGCTATGGCACTGGGGATGTGATGTGGTGATCACTTCCCATCCACCTATTCTGAGGCCTGCATGTGCAGTCATCCCAGATTTGGGACGTTCGTTTGCCGTCACTGTCTTGCAGCTCCTCTCCTGAGGTTTTGGTGTCTTGCCATGCTGCAAAAATTGGGACTCAGTTTGGGTTGACATTGGCCCTTCTTTATGTCTACTGCTAATACTTGAATTGGAAACTCTGCCCCTTCTCTTGCAGAAGCTCTTTCCCCTACAGCTGTGCTATTGCACATGCACAATTGCAGCTTCAATGTCAGTCACATTGGGGCTGACTGAGAAAGGGAAGGAGTGTGCTTGGAGGTGACAGGCTCTGTAAAGTGAGTTTTCTTCCTCCTTTATTGCTGGTCAAATGCTAGATATTTTCATTAAGGATTATAGTTTGGAGTTTGTTTTCCCCTTCCTACCCTTCTAGCCTTTTCTCTGAGAAGGGGAAGATTTTGTGTTAGTTTTTTAGTTGACATATAATTTACAATACAGTAAAATGCACTCTTTTGTACCAGATATAGTCAGGTAACCACCACCACAATCGAGATAGAGAACAGTACCATCACTTCAAAAGAGTGCCCTCGTGTCCCTTTGCGGTCACCCCACGCCCCTTCCCACACGCCAGGAGCCATGGATCCATGTTCTGTCCCTAGTGTCTAGCCTACTGCAGGGTGCCGTATAAATGGGATCATGCAGTATGTAGCCTTTGAGCCTGGCTTCTTTCACGTAGCACAGTATATTTCAAGTTCCTTCATGGTCTTCTGTCAGTAGTTTGTTCCTCTGGTTGCTGAGTAGTATTCCATTTATGGATATACCACAATTTGCTTGTCCATTCACTAGTTGAAATAGAGAAATGGTAGCTTAAAAAATGTCTTAATCCGTAGAATTTTTTGTATCAGTTCTTTTCTAAATCTTGAGGTGTTACCGGAAAAGTTGACACATTTCAGAATGTTCTTGCCCTGATGTGATCTCTGTCTCCACTAAGCCTGAGCAGAGATGTGCAGGCTCTTTGCTGCCGAGGGGACTATACTGTCCTAGGTCAGACCCTGAAGTCAGAGGGACTGTTTGCAAGTGTGACAACAATTGTGTTTTAAGTTTTGTGGCTAGAAATGAGAATCTCAGGGTTTATAATTCCCATCAACTGAGAAAGAAAAAAGGCAAACTGAGAAGAAGTAAATATGAAGTGAAATATTCACTTCACTAATGGGGAATTAATTTTGCATAAATGCTTTTAAACAAGGTTTCCGTAATAGCATATACACTGTGGCCACATTTAGCGTTGTAACGTTTCATTGGTAATTGAATAGTAAAATATGAAAGTGTAAAGGCTTTCTTTCTGGCACTTGGCAGCTTTCATGGCAGACTAAAACTGGGAATTCCAAAAGCAGTTGCTACGTTATCAGACATCACCAGTAAGAGATCTGAACTAAGAGTGCTCATTGAATGCACAGCTAGCTTTGTGGTAGATTTTGCTTTTCATTCAAGCATTTTAACTTTCTGTTTGTTAAATCCTGTTTTCTTTAGTTTTCTGTAGTGCATCCTCATATCTCAGGAATACATAAGTAAGCGTATATATTACACATATATCATTCTGATGTGGCAATATGTAAAATGACTGTTTTAGGACTAAACATAGTCATCTGTAGTATTTTGAAAATAAGCTTGCTGCCATCCCAGAAACGTCAGTGCATCTGTTCCTCTTTCTAGACGACGCAGTCTGTCCAGCACAAAGTCCCTCTGTCCCCAGATGTCTGGAGAGGAGGAGGATTCTGATTTGGCAGCCAAACTTGGAATGTGCAATAGAGAAATAGTACGAAGAGGAGCTCTCATTCTCTTCTGCGATTATGTTGTAAGTTTGTAAAAGCGAGTAATGGCGGGGTGGGGGACTGGAAACACCCTGTGTAGAGGATGCTTCCATAGGCCGTCTGAAAGCCAGATTGACTTCCCACTTTCCCACCACTCCATCAAAACGGGAAAACCAAAATTAATGTTTAATCCTGTCTAACAGATGATTTTATGATTAGAAACCGGACTTGGCCCACTGGTCACTGGTTTTTGAGTTTGTCCGTAAAAGGTTTCCTTTGGCTGTCACTTGTTCAACACACATTGAGTGACTGCTCTGGGCTATTCATAGAGCTGGCATTGTTGTATCAAGAGAAGCGATGGAATAATAATAATGAAAGCAAGCGAAGAGTGTTGGTTAGAGTGGGGTTCTGATTTTAAATTTTTTAAAATTAATCTGTGAAAAAGGTATTTGATGTTCATTGCTGCGTTTTAAAATAGATGCCTATTTGAATGCCATTCTTTTTTTCAAAAATAGCTTTTGTGGAGTTTTTTACCATAAAACTAGCATCACATTTAACATAGAAAATGTACAAAATCCAAGTAAGTAAAAAGAAGAAATCTTTTGTAATTGTATTGCTCACAGAGAACCTGTTGTTGAGACCGGCCCCGTGGCTGAGTGGTTAAGTTCTCGCGCTCCCCTTCAGCGGCCCAGGGTTTCACTGATTCGGATTCTGGGCGCGGATATGGGACCCTCGTCAGGTCATGTTGAGGCGGCGTCCCACGTAGCACAACCAGAGGCAATCACAACTAGAATATACAACTATGTACCGGGGAGGTTTGGGAAGAAGAAGAAGAAGAAGAAAAGATTGGCAACAGATGGTGCCAATCTTAAACAAAAAAAAAAGAGAGAGAACCTCTTGTTCCATTTTGGCTGGGGTTTAGTACTTTTTCTATACCAATATAAAAGTACATGCATTTCTCTGGTACAAACATGGTATCATGAACATACTGCTATCACGTAGCAAAATGTTGTTAAGCATTTTGGTGGTTTTTCTACTTTTCATTTTGTTTCTTCAGTTTTGTTGAGATATAATCGACATATAACGTTGTGTAAGTTTAAGGTGTATGACATAATCATTTGTTAAACATTCTGAGCAGACTTCAACTGAAGCAAATGTTATCATTTTTTGTTGTGCTAGCACTTTATTCATATTCATTTTTTGCTTTACGTTCTTGATGTTGAAATAGTTTTTCTATCCTGTTTCACTTTTGAGAAATAATATAATTATATAATGCTGATTTTCACAGAAATGTAAGAAATGTAAGAAAGATATTAATTTTATGTTAATACTATCAAATCATCCCACATGGAAAATATTCCTCACTGAACAGATGTCAAAGAATTGGTCACATTTTATAATTTCTGTCTAGAAGGATTATGAATTAAGATGAAAAGGCAACATGTGTATTTAAAAATGGTTATCTTCGTATTTCCTTATAAACCTTAAGTGAAATTTCTTCACTTAAGATCCATTTAATGTGTGGTCCATTCATATTTTGGACTCAGGAATTCTGTGAAAACTGACAGTTAAGTGATTTCTTTTTTTTCCACTGACCTGTCACAAAATTGGAGAAAGAATAACTGGAGAACATCCGTGAGTAGGGAGACTGATGCCTGGAGCGTCACTTGTTCTCGTGTGTTCTGGCTCTGGGACGGTCACCTGTGAGGGCGGCGCCACACTGCTCCCACTGTCCCACTGCCTTGGGGTCTCACCAGGCAGGCAGTGGTGGCCCTGGGCTCTGCTCCTTTCCTCCTCTGGCCTTTGGCCGTTGGCTGGTGCCCTTTGGGGCTGGCCTGCTGGGTCACATTTCCCTGGTGGGGTGTGACTTCCAACAGCCTCAGCCACAATATGTGCTTGGAGGTGACAGGCTCTGTAAAGTGAGTTTTCTTCCTCCTTTATTGCTGGTCAAGAGCTAGATTTTCACTGAGGATTATAATTTGGAATTTGTTTTCCCCTTCCTACCCCCTTGGCCTTTTCTCTGGCATGAATATCTGTTCTCTCCTTGACTACTTGAAAATGTGTCTTTCATTGTCTTTTTCCTCAGTGCCAGAACCTGCATGACTCAGAGCACTTAGCGTGGCTCCTTGTGAACCACGTTCAGGATCTGATCGGTCTGTCCCATGAGCCTCCCGTGCAGGATTTCATTAGTGCGGTTCATCGGAATTCTGCTGCCAGCGGCCTCTTCATCCAGGCCATTCAGTCTCGTTGTGAAAATCTTTCCACTGTAAGTCTCCTGGGTGCCAGCTGCTGCCAGTCACAGTTTTCTCTGCCTGAAAAATGGAGTACTGGGATTTTTAAACTGCTGATTTCCAATTGGCAAAATACTCTGCTCTTGTTTCTTTCCTTCTCTCAAATGTCAGCCCACCACTCTGAAGAAAACTCTTCAGTGTTTGGAAGGGATCCACCTCAGCCAGTCGGGTGCTGTGCTGATGCTGTATGTGGACAAGCTTTTGTGTACTCCGCTCCGTGTGCTGGCTCGCATGGTTGACACCCTTGCTTGTCGCCGGGTAGAAATGCTTTTGGCTGCAAATTTACAGGTACTGAAAAAAACACTTACATTGATTTTTATTGAAAACTAAGCAGGGCAAGCAAAACAATTTGGCTGTTTTTTCCCTCTACAGGCATATTCTTCATGTGGCCACTGAGAGAAACCTGTATAACATGTATAAACTGGTCATTCCTTGTATGTCTGATATGAGTGCTTCTTGTGCTTTCTTCTAGTCTGCCTTTGCTATGATAAGCTGTCCCCGTCAGTTTATCCTTTGTAAAGGAGCACAAGGTTATTTTGATCCCTTATGTTTTACAAACCCACTGATGTGTTCTTGTCTACTTCAGAGCAATATGGCCCAGCTGCCAGTGGAAGAACTCAACAGAATCCAGGAATACCTTCAGAACAGTGGGTTAGCCCAGAGGTAATGCTGGAGCCAGGTGTTCCTGGATTTGGGGTATAAAGACTTAGATTTGTAAGGGAATAAAGTCGTAGGACAAGAGATTGATGTGCTTTATAGATGGGTTTAAAAGGAGTAAAGAACAACTGGCAGGCTGACCTCTACGCATTAACAGAGGGATGCCTGCAGTCCTGTGGGTGGCTGAGAGGTGGCAGGGGTTCAGAGTGCCTCTGTTCATGCCTGGTGACGATTGGGACTACAAGTTAGCAGCTTTATCTTAGCAAAATCAAAGCATATAACCTAATTGTTAAATAAGAGTTGGCAGGTCTGAAAGACATTACCCAGTTCTTCACGTGTAAGAATTATATCTGCTTCTTGTTAAAATGTTATCTCTTTATAGCTATTTATTACCTAATTTTGTTTGCAAAGTCTTTTAGAAGCCTTTATCAGAAATCATGACATCTATTATATATTTCCATGATTGCAGAATAAATTAAGAGAAGTTTTTACCTTTTTTCCTCTACATACTGTGCTGTGACTTCAATCTTTTTTTTTAAAGATGTTAAGGCAGACTTTATTCAGGGGAACTACTATAGTAGGGTTTTACAGTAGAGGAGAGAGAGTGAGCTCAGCTCTGAATACGGCATAGACGCGTGGAGATTTATAGCCAAGGAGCAGGCTGGGGCCAGTGGACAGAAAATTCCTATGGGGAAACTTGAGGGGTAAGGGAGATTCTGGCTAAACCAACTAGACAGGATTTTGCTACAGGCAGGCCAGGGCAATAAGATATGGAGAGTAGCGGATGAGGAATTTGATCAGATAGTAAGGGTGGGGCCAGTTTCCGCTAAACTGACCCAGAAGGATTCTTGCTAAAATGACTGAGTGGACCAAGGACAGAGTCCAAGGGCAAGGCCTACTCAAAAAGAGTTCTCAGAGAAGGTTGGCTGCAGTGTGGTCAAAGGAGAGAGTCTTTGTCACATAGAAGTACTAATAGCCCCACGTTTTTCTTATTGTGGGTCACATTTTCCTGATTGTCTTATATTTTAAAAATTTATATGTTTGACGGGTATAAATAGGAGAGACTGAAGTAGATAACGTTTGCCCAGAAGAGCTCTGGCTCCTTCTGTCCCACTAGGACGTGGGGTCATCTCTTTGGTGGGCTCCAGAGCTGAGATGGATAGGGCTGGGCTGCACACTTCAGCTGTGACTTCGATCTTAAGAGAAGCTTATCAATGGTGTCTTTTGTTGGGAAGGGGCAGCACACGATTTTGAGTGACTTTTCAGTATGCCAGGCTGAATTATGTTATAACTTGCTTTATGAAGTTGTCATTCTCATAGCAGATGGTGGGAAGTCGAACTGTTTTTATTTTTTGACCCTAGACTTTGTATTCGGCCCAGATGAGGAAGATTATAGGTATCTTGTACCAGATGAAAAATGAACATAAATTAGTATATATTATATCTTTTTGGGAGATTAAATAGGTTTCCTGCACTTGGGTATAGAATAGATGATCACTTTGCATTTATAGAGAATGCTTTTATTAGCTATCATACTGTGTATTGCCTGGTGCAGTGTTTGAGCATAAATGAAATTTCTGGAAAATATTTATGAGGCATAAACTGTGGTTATTAAGAGTAAACTAGGGCCTGAGTTCACTTTGAATGTTGCTGAGAAGTAGCTCTGAAGAGGTGGCTTGAGATACATTGCCTCTCACTTTGAGAAGCTACTGTGTCTCTTCCCTGTGGAGCTGTGCTCTAACCCACGTGTGATTGTATTCCAGACACCAAAGGCTCTACTCCCTGCTGGACAGGCTTCGTCTCGCCACTGCACCAGGATCATGTGGCCCTTCTCCTCCGGTCACATCCCACCCGCTGGACGGGGATGGACCCCTGGCTCTGGAGACAGTTAATCCAGACAAAGTAAGTGACACACAGGGCCACTCCAGGTACTAAGTACCTCTCTCCGCCTGCGGCAAATCCAGAGTGTGCAGCAGGGTGGCTCAGGAGGCAGAACGTCCTGGCACTCTGTGCAGCTCCTGAGAGCTCGTGGCCTGCCTTGTTTCTTTCCAGCACTGGGCAGGGTCACCTCATGACAGGATGCATGAGGTCCAGCAGGGGCATGGGTTGAGAAAGGAAATGCTGACCTAGGACACTCGTGGTGGGTAGTTAATGGGAAGATCAGGAGCTGGGTGACCATGGCCTGCACTCACGATTGCACAGGCCTTCAAGCACATGTCCGCTTGGCCTGTCTCCCTCTCCTTACGCCTGCTGACCTCCTGCATATTGACCCCATCTCTCCAAGAGCCATGGCTGTTATCATCCTCAGCACTCACACCTCAGAGCTGGGGACCATTTAGGACTTTGGTATAACCTTGATACTCTTGTTTCCTGGAGAGAGTTCAGTTTAAATATGAACTTGGAGTTCAGAAACCAGCAGTCCAGGCATAGAATAGCAAAGTTCAGGCCTCTGTTCTCAGGCTTGATTTGCTAAGTGCCTCTGCTGTGCTGGCTCTGTGGGGAGAGGAGCAAAGCAGACACCCCAATAGAAGGTGACGGGTGCGATGCCAGACGAGGGTGAAGGTGCAGAGTAGGGCCCGCTGTCCTCAGCAGAGTTTGAAGGGCAGTGGGACACTCTCCAGGTGGGGGGGGAGAAGGCACCTGTAAATAACAGCGAGTCCAAAGGACAGCCTTCAGAGCATTTCCTGTGATGTGGTGAGCAGCCCCCACGCCCAGCCACAGTTGCCAAAGCTGCATTCATAGTCCAGGGGCCACTTGTCCTTCGGTCTGGAGCCACAGGATGTGAGGGGCAGTAGGCAAAGAGACAACACATTTCTAGAAGTGTCAAAGCGCCTTGAAAGCTCTGCCCAATTATTCTGTTATCTACCTTTTTCTTCTCCCCAGGACTGGTACATACGCCTAGTCAAATCCCAGTGCTGGACTAGGTCAGATTCCGCACTGCTGGAAGGGGCAGAGCTGGTGAATCGGCTTCCTCCCGGGGACATGAGTGCATTCATGATGAACTCGGTATGGCGGAGAGAGCGGGAGGCCAGGGAAACCCTGTCTTTCTTTTGTTGCTTTCCTGTCTGATTTGTTTCATTGTAATGCAACCCACTGTTGACATGTACCACTCACCTTTCTGCCTTAATGGCAGAGACCCTAATCCAGACAGACAGGATGAGGGGAGACTGCTGCAGACAAGACAGGACGTTATTTCAGCCACATTAGAACCCAAAAGGACACGTGTTGTGTTTACTTCAACATTTCATGCTTTTAAAGAAAATAGGTTCTCTTAGATTATAGTCACTTCTGATTGCTGGTTCTCATGGTCATGAGGAAACATTCGCATGGTGTCATCATGCATGATTTAACTGACTCTCTCCTGATATTCTGGAAATTGATCTTTAGTAAACCCCCTTTCTAGATGTAATGAGGTCCTCCTGCCCCACCACAGGTAGTGAGGTCCCCCTCCCCCTACTTCCTAGAGTGAGGTCTCCCACCCCCTCACTAGATGTGATGAGGTCCCGCATCCCCACCCTTGATCTTGTGCAGGCAAGCCGTGCAGAGCTGACCCAGGAGGCCCTTGCAAAGCTTCCTTGTCCTTGTCCTCACTTCTTGGGCAGGTCCTGTGAGGAGTGGAACCCCCCCCTTTTCGGTACTGTCCAGCTATAGATGTAGCGGGTTCCTTTTCAGACCTACTGGGATGAGCAGTCAACTAAACCTTGAGGCGTTTTAGCACTGTCTTGATATGTACCAAGTGGTAATGAAGAAGCAGCAGATAGCTGGGGTGATGGCAAGGTGAATTAGGGGGCAACAAAGAACGTGCCAGGTGTAGATGAAGAGAGACTCCAAGTGGAGACAACACAGAAGTACCTATTCTTCATCAATTTGAACATAAGAGCTATGTTGAAAAAAAACAGGAGAATTGGCTCAAAATCAGTTTGCTAAAATCATTTTAAGACCCATTCAGTGAAAGCTGATTTGCTGAATGATCAATTTGCTTATGACCAATTTACTGAATTTTCCAAATTCACTAATTGGATTTTTAACCCCTTTAAAGTTCTGGCTGTAACAGAAAGGTTTAATTTTGGTCACTGATGATGGCATATACATTTCTGAATATTAATTAAGATTGATATTCTCCCTGAAAATTTACCCAAAAAAATTCTTAAATGGTTTTGAAAAGTTGGCAAAACACAGTACAAATTGAAACATGATCTACGAAATGCTGTTTTTCCACCCAAAATTGTGGCATTTATTTGGCTACTTGGATTTCCCTAGCTGCTTTTGAATATAACTTACCTTTTTCAAACTTTGGGAATGTTTTGTGTTTCACTGATTCCTTAGGTGGCATTTCAACTCAATTTTGTATTTTTATCAATTAAGATTTTGTCATATTAAATTTTTGATTTCAAATCCATCTGAAGGCATAAAAAATAAAAACATTTCTTTAAAATTAAAGTACCCAGAAGAGACCAGAAATATATTTCACTGAGCATATGATCAATGGAGTTGTTCATTTATTTATATCAGAAGTAGAATATTCTTTAACATATTTTTTTTCGTATGGTAATCTTGTTATCTCAGAAATGTTTGCAATATCCTTTCTTCTGTAGTGTTTTTCTTGCCTAATTGAAAGCTTATAATTGTTGTTGTTGAACCTTTAATGCCTAGGAGTTCAACTTAAGCCTCTTAGCCCCATGCTTGGGCCTGGGCATGCGTGAAATTTCTGGAGGCCAGAAGAGTCCCCTATTTGAAGCTGCTCGAGTGGTAACTCTGGACCGTGTGACCAGCATGGTTCAGCAGCTGCCTGCTGTCCATCAAGTTTTCCAACCATTCCTACCCGTGGAGCCCAGTACCTACTGGGGCAAAGTGAATGATCTATTTGGTAATTAAAATAAAAACTTCTTTTATTTTTTTAAAAAATGCTGCAGAGCCAGTACAGTGCTTTGCACCAAGTAAAGATTCAGGAAATTCTGTTGTTCTGATAAATGGAAAGCAATTACAGAGGTAACTGAGAAATGACACTGGGGTCCCTAGCTCTGCATGTCTCTTGCTGTGTCTGCTACTTTGCTATTTGTTGACATAGTCCGGGCTTCAAGTCCTCAGGAGCGCTAGGATAGACCTGGGGGGGAGTGCAAGACTTGGGTGTCTTTGCAGATATGCTTCTGAGGAGCGATGTCTTTGGCTCCCATCAGATTCTCAGAGAATTGCCTGACTGCCTTTCTAAGGTCATGAGCCTCTGCTAGAGTCGTGTCCACCCATTCAGATCTTCTGTTTCAGGGGATGCTGTATTGTATCGGTCTCTGACCACTCTGGCCCGAGCACTGGCCCAGTACCTGCTGGTGTTCTCCAAACTGCCCAGCCACTTGCACCTTCCTCCTGAGAAGGAGAAGGACACTGTGAAGTTTGTGGTCATGACACTCGAGGTAAGAGGCAGCTTGGGAACTCAGTGTTTCTGTGCAGAGGGAGGTGTGACTGGCACTGTCAACCGAGAGCTGTGCACAGTCTGGCGTGCTCTTCACCTCCTTCTGACAGTAACTACTTGCCAGGTGTCGTGCCCATCCCTTCCTCTCCTGAGTGCTTCCATACCCCTTACCACACCAGTTCCTCACAGTCACCTCGTGAGATTGGGAACACAGCACTAACTGTCTCTACTGCACAGCTGAGGAAGGGAGGTTGGGAAGAGCCAGGCCTGGGACCGAGGCTCCCTTGCAGCCAGCTTCACCCCTCCTGTGTCTGGGGAGCAGGCTTAGGGGAGAGGGTATCCATCATAGAGGAGGGCCAGGCAGGGAGAAACGTCAGGCAGAGAGAGGCAAGGGTGATTAGAGAGATGAGGAAAAACCTTTCGGGGATCTCCCAAATATAGCATGGCAAGTCATCACATGCTTAATGTTAATCTATTTCCTTGATTCTAAGATGCCTTTGATTTTGGGACAGATCATCCATTAAATTCTTTCTTTTTTTTTCCTGAGCTAACATCTGTGCCAATCTTCCTCTGTTTTTTGGGTCAGCACCACAGTATGGCCACCGACAAGCAGTGTAGGTCTGTGCCTGGGAACTGAACCTGGGCTGCCAAAGCAGAGCATGCTGAACTTAACCACTAGGCTACAGGGCCAGCCCCTAAAATTTTTTTAATGTGTACATATTCTGCATGGATTGGCTTTCCATACGACTTCTGGAAAATAGAGTCTGACCTGCATCCTTAAAGAGTCAGAGGGTCAGAGCTACATTGACCAGCCTAAGCGAGGACACAGCTGATTCAGCATCAACTTCACCTGCCACTTTACAGCAGCGAGAGAGAAGTGTTGGGAGGGCATTCATGCAGTCGCTCATGAAAGGATGAGCAAGCACTTAGGTGGAGCCAGGCCAAGTCAGATAGCCGTGACCCATGTCCTGCAGGTTTCTGTGTAGTGGGGAGGCTGGCAAGAGAACATATGGTTAGAGTACAGTGATTGCTCTGAGCTCTTTCCTGTGCCTGCTGTGTGCAGGATGAAATGCTTCACTTGCATCATCTTATTCAGATCTCACTCCAACCCTGTGAGGGCTCTGTTATTCCCATTTTGCAGATGAGGAAAGCAGGGCTTAGAGAGATTTGGTCTTGGCCAAATTCACCCCCTAGGAAGTAGTCAGTCAGCATTTGAACCCAAGTCTGGCTGTCTTCAGAATCCGTTCTCTCAAATTCAGCCTCTGTGGCTGCGGCAGAGGAACGGCCTGGGCTGTGGAGCCCCAAGGAAGAGTCTGACCTGGAGGTGTTGTGGCCAAGGAAGGATTTCTAGAGGAGCTCACAGAGCTGAAGGATAAAGGGGCAGCAAGATCAGGGTGGGCGTTCTGGCAGAGAGGGGAGCCCCCGGCACTTTGGGGAGTGGGTACTTGAAGTTGAGGGAGTGGGGACCTCTGGAAGGACAGGGTCCTTGGGACCTGCCAGCCTCTCGAGCTTTGGACAGTTCATTGACAGCCGAGAGTTGTCTGCTTCCCTGACAGCCCCCGCAAAAAGAAGAAAGCACGGGTCTGAGCCTTCTTTAACACAGCCCTTCCTCTTCAGGCCCTGTCATGGCATTTGATGCACGAGCAGATCCCGCTGAGTCTGGATCTCCAGGCGGGCCTGGACTGCTGCTGCCTGGCTCTGCAGCTGCCTGGCCTCTGGAGTGTGCTCTCCTCCCCAGAGATGGTGACCCACGCCTGCTCCCTCATTCACTGTGTCCGGTTCCTCCTGGAAGCCAGTGAGTCCGTGACCATGACGGGCCTCTGTCCCTTGTCACTTGAACCAGTAATCAGCTCCACAAATGTAGTCACATACATTTATTTTGTGCTTCCTGTTTGCCAGGTACTAAGTTAGGAATTGGCGGGGTGAAGAGGTGGATAAAATATGGGCCTTGCCTTAATCTCTGGTATCTTGGAGTCTACACTAGAATTTAACTTGAATTTGCTTTTGTAGTCATTTTGTTTAGATTTTGGAGTTCCAGCTTTCATAAAAAATACTTCTAATTTTATGTCCCTTTAATCTCTGACCCTAGTGGACTGTTTCATGCTTTTAGTCCTAAATGATTTTAAGATTAATAAGATTACATTCAAAAGATTACTTGTTTTCTGTTAGAGTTGAAATGTTTGTTTCTATACTGCATTGTAATACTAATATATTAAAATAAAAGTGATTTATTCTTTTCAAGGGACAATGTCCTCAACAAGGGTCATTAGGCAAAATTTTTTAAAAATTTGACACTATAGTTTACATATTAGAGGGTGTTTTGAAGTTTTGTATTTTTAAATTAAACATTGTGGAGTGGTGTTTTGAAGTCTCACTGTTTAAATTGTTTTCATCTGTGCATTTGTAGTTAACTTCAAAATGAAGATCCAGGGAGTAATTTTTCAAAGCCCAACTTCTTGGGGGTTGTAGTGATGCCTTTAGCAGTAATGAGTCATGAACTGTCTGATAAAAACCTTCAGGGTTAGAGGTGGCAACCAGAAGACAGTGGAGGGACTTAGAATCTGAATGTCGAAGTCCCAGTCCTGTTGCATTTCAGATTAACCCAGAGATTGATACCTGAGTCTAGTATTGTCTGAAATTGATTCTAGCAAATCTAGACTTCGTTTGACATAGTCTCTCGCTTCAAAATGTTATGAGGGTGCATGAATGTGAAAATTTGAATAAAAAGGAATGGTAAAAGTGTTTGGAAATTCTTCTTTTTGTTCTGTTATGATTTTAGTTGTGGTGCAGCCTGGGGACCAGCTTCTTAGTCCAGAAAGAAGGACGAACACCCCAAAGGCTGCCAGAGAGGATGAAGTAGATTCAAATACACTAAGTAAGTCTCAAGACTCGTTTTTTTCTTACCTGGTTTCTTTGAGGGGCTTGAAATTCATTCACAAAAGACACTTTTAAAGTGGCGAATGTGGACGCTTCAAAGCTTGCTTTAACTTAGCTTGTTCTGTTGCTTGTCCCTAAATTTCAGGGCAAGTTGAGCCTTGTACATGCTCTTTCCTTTGCTTGTACACTCTGCCCCTATTCATCTGACTCTCTTTGACCCTCCAAACTCAGCTGGGCTGTCACACTCCTGGGCAATCCTCCCGGATCGCCATTCTTCTGGAACACTGAGTTTGCACCCCTCCTCTGGGAAGGCCCTCCTTTCCTTCATCCTAGCGCTTAGATCCTCTGTGGCACTTCCTGCTTTCTGTGTCTTCCACCTCAGACTCTGAGCCGCTCGAGGGCAAGGAGCGTGTTTTCCTTCTCCCTGTTCTCCGTATTATAAGTGATTAACAATGTTTGTTGAGTAGTGAAGGAATAAATAGAAAAACTGAAGAACTTGAAGTTAGTGGAAATACACACATGAATATTAGGTAACCTGGGTGTCTATTTCAGCCATTTGTTTTGGTGGATTTTTAAATGAAAATTACTGCTGTTCTTAAAAAACAAAAACGATCCACATCCCATTCATTTAAGCCTGTTCTAGACTTCGGCATGCACCGTGGTCTTTCATGTACTTTGTCCTAATTCAGGTGTTTTAGTCTGAAAATGGTAGTGAGGCAAAACTTCTTGGCCAAGTGACTCCTTGTTGTCACCAAGGACCTCCAGGCCGTATTGCCCTTTATCCAAAGGAATGCCAACCTGCATCCTGTCCCACAATGATGGGAAGCTAATGCCCCACCTGGCAGTTCTTGGCTGTCTGTGTTATGCAACGCTCTTACTTGGGATACTGGAGTCTTACCCGTGCCCTCTTGGCTTAAGAAACATGCCTTTTTCGTATCAGGTACATAATGTTTTGTATCTTTTTTTGCCAGCTTTAGTGCAATCCCAGTTAGTGATAGAGAGTTTTCCTGTGGTTAGTACTAAGCATAGTAATTTTTCTTCTGGTTACCTGCTCAAGGTTTTATAATTTTGTAACCATTCACAAGCCATGGTGTTTCATTACACAGCCAAGCTCTTCTCTAGGTGTTTATCTCAAAACTCTGTGGTTCTCTCAGCCCTTATGTGATTTCATGATTTCTTGCTGTTGCCTGAGGGATGTGCACTCACTCACTTCCCTGCTTGGCTCCCTTCTAGCCGAGTTGCCTTAGCAAGTTTTCTATCCTGTGCTTCTGCAGTGAGGCTAAGAAGAGACTAAACTTATAGGGTTGGTGTAAGGATTAAGTAAATTAATCCAAGTAAAGCACCCAGAACAGGCGTCAGGCCTGTTTTAAGTGCTCAGCAAATGTTACCGTTATTTTAGTTATAATTTGAATTTCCATTCCTCTGAAGATAGTTCAGGCGTTCCAAGGAGTTGCGTCAGAGCAGGCAGAGCCATTGGCTGAAGTGTATTTAGTTTGGGTTAATTGTGCTCATTCTCCATGGCCCTTTTGAGGCCAGTTAATTTCATCGTTGCCAGGGGAAGAAGTTTGCTTCTTTATCACCTCAATAAGATGATACCTCTTAAAGATTGTCCAATAAATAGGATTAAAGTCACCCTCATTTCTCTTAGCTTGGGGCTTGCTTCCTTACATCCAATAAGAATTCCTTCTCTAGATGAGGAAGTTCCCTAGACTTTGAGTCTCAGGGACCATGGGTAATATCCATCCACAACCCTAAACATTTATCAGCTCAACAAATAATTCTTTGGCACGTACCCTCTGCCAGACTCAAAGTGAGTCCGAAGCAGCCCCTGACCTCGAGGTGCTGTGCGTCTCACCTGAGGGTGTGGCGTTTGCCTCAGCATTCTGCCTCAGGAGTTCTCGGGTAGGATGCAGCGTCCTGTCAGAAGCCCCCTGCAACCCATGAGAACCCCTGATCTTGAGGAAGCAATGAATGGGAGATTCCAGCATGGTTCTTTGCATGCCAACTCAGGGACGAGCACACGGTCCTGGGAGAACCAGAGAAAGCCAGAACACAGGGTGGCGTCCTGAGGGATGCGTGAAGCTGAGGGGCTGCACGTTTGCTCCTGGATGTGAGCTGGCCAGTGCTGGCTGCATTGTGCACGGGGGGTGGAAGGGCTGGGACTGGAGGCAGGAGACTAGGTTCAAGATGATTGCAACAATCCTGGCACGTAGATAGAGATAAAGGAGGTGAATCTCTAGGCCTTCAGCGACCAGCTAGAAGTCTAGGGGAGGCCCATACATTTCTGGCTTGAGTGATGGTAGTAAGGCTGTGCCTGCTGCACCGGGATGCTGGGAAAATCAGGAGGAGAGGTGGTGGCTTTGGGGTGTGTTTGACAAAACAGTTCTCTCTTAACCATGGTGTTTGTTTAGACCCTAAGTATATCACTGCAGCCTGTGGGATGGTGGCAGAAATGGTGGAGTCTTTGCCATCCGTGTTGGCCTTGGGTCATAAAAGGAATAGCAGCACTCCAGCCTTTCTCACGTCGGTGCTCAAGAACATCATCATCAGCCTGGCTCGCTTACCCCTCGTCAACAGCTACACACGCGTCCCTCCCCTGGTGAGTCTGGTCATTCCTTTGCAGAAGACCAAAATAACCAAGATGCCCAGGCAACCCCATGGACTGGAGACTCCCAGAGGATGAGACCAGATCTTGACTGCTCAGATGCTTCCTTGTGGTGGCCAGAGCCTTTGGTTGCATGTAGCCGTGACGCTTTGTCTAGTTCATCAGGCGTGCTGTATAGTGGTAGTTAGTAGAAATACTGGATTTTCTAAAATGCGGTGAGGCATTACATCAAGAAGTAAGATTTCATCTCCCACTAATAGACACTTAATGTTGGATGTGATTCTACACTAATTAGACTAATTTGTTTAATGATAGAGACCATAAATTATATCCCCTCAAGTGAGTATTTTCCTTTGAAAGAAGTAACCTTTGGAGATTATTCATGTATTTTGGCATAATCACTTTTGCAACTCCTCTTTTCAAATTGTCTTCAGAATCAATTTCAAGGAGGCATCATTATTCAGGACTCTTGTTTCAGATAACACAAAGAGCTCAGGTGAGCAGGGTGAGGGTTGATGGAGGCTCGACTGATCTCTCCCAGGGGAAATTGCATCTCACACACACACACACACACACACACACACACACACACCCTCCTCCCCCAGCACACACACGCACACACACACCCACCCCCTCCTCCCCCAGCATCACACACACACACCTCCTCCCCCAGCACGCACACGCACACACACACCCACCCCCTCCTCCCCCAGCACGCACACACACATACCCACCCCCTCCTTCCCCAGTACGCACACGCACGCACACACACACGCACACACACACACCCATCCCCTCCTCCCCCAGCACGCACACACACACACACACACACGCACACACCACCCCCTCCTCCCCCAGCACGCACACGCACACACACACCACCTCCTCCTCCCCCAGCCTGCCGAGATAGGAAATGGGATGATGGATTGACACAGAGCAGGGCTGGAATCCGTAGGTAAAGGTTAGCCAGAACTGAGAGGAAAGTCTCTGGTTTCTGCCTGGAAAGGGCACGTGCCTGCCAGTGAGACAGCTTCTGTGCTGTGCATGTGTGCACGAGTGTGTGTGGGAGACTCTGGAGAGGCTTTCACCAAGGAAGTGTAGTCATTAGATCTGAGAGATGAAGAGGGTTTTGCTGTGGTGGGTGAAGGTATTCCACATGGAAGTCTCGTTCTGAGAAAAAGCCCAGTGGGTGATACACTGGAAGTCCTCATAGAACAGGGAGTTGGGGCCTTTCTGAAGCCTGGCACCCACTAGGAGGAGAGCGGGAGGAGCCACGCTGGAGAAGCAGGCCACCATCACTGTGCAGCCCTGTGTCTCAGCTGCAGAGGCCACTCAGCTCTCGGCTCCGCTCACAAGGAGTCACTGTAGGTCTTGAGACAGCTGCACCTTTGGAGTGGAGTGGGGAGATGATGCAGGAATGCACAGTCTAGAGGTCACGGTCTGGAACAGATTCAGAACTACGCCAGCCCAGACCACGTACTACAGGTTAAACTCCTCGAGCAAGGGTCTTAACCCGCACCGGGCAGCGTACTGAAGTGCCCTGACGAATGCACACTCTGGAGGTGGCTCTGACGGGCACCACAGACTCTCCCCTGGACGTGCATAGAGGGTTGGGAGTACCATGAGTCTGAGAAAGTAGCTTAGTGAGGTGAAGTAGAGGTGCTGAAGCTGTTGAGGGTAGCCGGCTACAGCTCAGAGGCCCGCAGGCAGGCTTTGGGAATCTGGAGCCAAGCTCTCGGCCTGGGCACCTGGCGTCCTCTGCCGCTTCATCAGAGCGTGTCCACTCGGCTGGCTGGGAGGTTGGCTCCTCCTGCTGCTAGAATAGTGTTGGGTTGGCCTCAGGTCAGCCTTGCGTTCACAGTGCTTGTGGGAGCGCGTGACGGACAAAGCTGGACTTCATGGAGGTCACAAACGCTGACAGTGTGGCTCTTTTTGTGTCTGCTCACCAGTAGATACTTCTGTGGGCGGCTGAACTCCATTTGCGGCCTGCCTTTGTCTAACACACCAGCTGCTGTCTGTCGCCCCGGGTGCTGTCCCTAACTCCTGCCTGCCTCTGATGGTTGGAGGCTGCCGGCACTGACCCCAAAGAACCCACCTCATGAGCAGCCAGCGTGACAGGGGTGTCGGCAGTATCGGGAGCAGCTGAGGAGGGTGTGGGAGGCACACCAATGGGGAAGGAGATCCTTGGGCGAAGGAGCTGGAACTGTTTTCCTGGGAAGATGGTACACTTGCTTTCAGGAATGTGTGAGCAGTCAGAAGGTGGGCCACACTTAGAGGAATGGTGTTCCTTGGTTTCCTCACAATGTGGCTGTCCTGACTTGACTGGGCAACTTAATTTCTTTTTCATCCTCAGGTGTGGAAACTTGGATGGGCACCCAAACCAGGAGGGGATTTTGGCACAGCGTTCCCCGAGATCCCCGTGGAGTTCCTCCAGGAAAAGGAAGTCTTCAAAGAGTTCATCTACCGCATCAATGCGCTAGGTAGTCTGGAGCTCTCCTTCGGAATCGCTAGACGTCATAACATGTCTGTCTAGGGGAAACCCAACACTACCATAGTGGAGCCTTCTCATTTTATTCCATAAAAGATTTAGGGTGTGATAGAATCGTGTGAATACATTTTGCAATGTATTTACAAAACTGAAAATTCGATCCAAGTTCATGTGTATTTGTGGGAGTTTAATCCAAGTTTTCACGTATCAGACTCGCTTGGAGTCAGGGTGGGTGTTCTGTGCCTGCTGATGTGCAGCAGATTCAGCCTCCATCCCGTGCACCTATGCTGGTGGCCGTAGTGAGTTCTCTGATGTTTTCGTGTGTGAGCACTGATGCTCTTGCCCTGGATGTACAACGAGCAGATCTGGTGAGACAGGCCCTGCATGGTAGAGTGGGATAAAGTAGACTTTAGATAACACAGCTCTGGACCCTGTGCTGTGTGAGGTGGGTCATTTTAACCTCGAGGTACCCCAGTTTTGTTGTTCATGAAATGGGGATTATGCGTAGTTCATGGAATTGCTACAAATTTAGAAAAAATTTAGGAAGATGCACCTAGTACGCTATCAATAAATAGTAGTGTTAGTAGTTTTCCTGTCAGGATTCTTCTCTGCTTCTCTGTAGGTTGCCTCCTTTTGTCCCCATTTCATGGCTGGAGGTATGATCTGTTGGGGGGCTGTAATTGGTGGGTCACGAGGCTGTGCTCTGCCGGGGTATTTCCCAGATCTCTGTCCTGTGAGCCTGGCATGGGCACCCTGACTGCGTGTCTGGCCCCCACCCTGTCCCCGTGGTGCCCTCCTGTCTCGGCTTCTGCAGGTTTTGTGCTTCCTTGGGTCCCGGAAGGTTCAGGCAGCAGACAGCTCACCTCTACTTTTCCCTTCATTCAGGCAGATTCATTATGCTGTCCAGAGTGAAATCTGAGCAGCGCTGTGAGGCCGGCTGCCTTAGGGAGTTCCTCTTCTTTTCTCTCCTTAGAGATGGCGTAGGCAGTCTCCTGGCTTCCCCTGGCCTCACAACAGCTCCTCGTTCTTACTTGTCTGAGTCACTTGGACCTGCGGGACCCAGGGCGGGTCTCCAGTCTCTCCTGATCTTTGCCTTTCCTCTTGCCCACTACTTCTTTGTTCACTCTTTTCTTCTTCCCTGTGTAAATTGTCATATAGGTCTGTCTGTATCTGTGTCTATCTGTCTATATCTAATCTGTATCTAAGTCAGTCAGTCACTCTCTTTCTATGTCCAGTTTACCGAGGAGATCCTGAAGTTTGGTTGGTTTTCTGCTCAAGTTTGATGTTGGTTTTCTCCTCAACACCCACCCCCATTCCTGTCACTTGTAGCCCTAATGCAAGTAGCATGGCCACCTCCACCTCCTAGGTCGTGAGTGGGAACATTAAGCGCAGCCCTCGGAAACAACCGTTTATCGCACGCTGCCTCAAGGGCAGCTTGGGATGATGACGCGTGAGGCTGGCCCATCAGATACGCCTTCCCTGAATACGTGGAAGCCCCTAGCTAGATGACGTTCTTTTTTGGTGTCTTTTTCTAGACAGGGTCAGAGAAACCATTGCTTTAACTTTTGTATTTTTACCAGCTTCATTGAGATAGAATTCACATAGTACACACTTCACCCACTCAAAGTGTGCAGTTCAGTGGTCTGTGGTGTATGCACAGTTGTACAGCCGGCAACTCAGTCCAATGGTCTGGCTTCCTGGAAGACTTTGAACCCGCTGGTGAGCAGGGCAGAAGTGGCTCTGAGCCCATTCAGGTGTAGCCTGTTGGGCTGTCCCTTTACTTCACCACGTCTACACTGCAGGAGTCGAAAGGGTGCCTCTCCACCAGGGGTCCTGCGCTGAACTCGGACTGTGCCACGTATTTGTTTATGGCCTCAGACGTGTGTGCTTCAGTGTCTGTGCTGATGGACTGGCCCTAGCAGTGTTGCTGCTTCACAGAACTGTCAGGAGGGTTCAGGGAGCTGCTGTAGGTGACCCCCTGGGGCAGCGCCTGTCCTAGTTAGAGCTGTATGGCCCGACTGCCACATCAAAAAGTTTGAGGAGTGAGTGACCCTCTGTCTCATGTAACGTTTGCATTCCTAGGGTGGACCAGCCGTACCCAGTTTGAGGAAACGTGGGCCACCCTCCTTGGTGTCCTGGTGACTCAGCCACTCGTGATGGAACAGGAGGAGAGCCCACCAGAAGTAAGGCCATGTGTAGCTTTGCGTTCACTAGCTGACACCCTGGCAGTTGGGGCAGCTTCTGAATCATTAGTGGTGGGTGCAAAGGAGAGCAGCAGGCTCATGTTTTTCTATCTTACCATATTTTTAAAAGAGTAGCCAGATCATGTCTAGACTGATGTTCCAGAGCAGAAACAAGTTTCCCTGAGGTTTGGGTATCCTAGATTGCCAATGGCTTGAGTGCATTTTATCCTAGTGTATTGCATGGTAAGGGTCAGTAAGGTTATACCCTTTCTTAAAATATTTCTGAGTTCTGGTTCTCAGTGCTCAAGTGCAGTGTGTAGGTTGAATCACAGTGAAAGGGCACTTTGTAAAGGCCATGCATATGTACCTGTGTTCATTTCTCTTGACTGTTTTGCAAAGACTTAGCAGGCTTCTTGGAGTGTTAATATATATTATATTAATATAATATTAGTACAAACCATGTTCTGATAAGGCAAAGCCTGAAATAGTAAATGTCATGGGATACAGGTTCCTAATTCTAATAGGTGTGGTATGAACTTGCAGAAATGACAGTTAAAAGAGTAGACATGTCAAAAATCACCAAGATTGTCTTTAAATTCATGTGTAGAAGCCAACAGGTTGTCTGCGTAAAGTTCCTATAATTAGTGAGGAAATTTAAAGGCAGTTTCTTTCAAGGTAATTTGTATTTGGAAATTTGTGCTTATGGGAGACCTTGCTTTGGAAAGTAGATGTTTGCCCTTCAAATTTATTTCGAGTCACAGGTGTATGTAGGCTGTGGTGAACTTAGGCAGACAGAACCTTGGCCAGGAAGACATGTCCCTCTGTGATACTTGGGGCTCCTTCCCACAAAGCCTTGTGGCCTGAGAATCACGGCCTTCGGGTTCTGCATGCAAGTAGGGACACGGGTGTTGTTGGTGTCTGGCTCCCTGTGACTTGATAATGTATGTGGGTTCTTTTTCCAGGAAGATACAGAGAGGACTCAGATCAATGTCCTGGCCGTGCAGGCCATCACCTCCCTGGTGCTGAGTGCGATGACTGTGCCCGTGGCCGGCAACCCAGCTGTGAGCTGCTTGGAGCAGCAGCCCCGGAACAAGCCCCTGAAGGCTCTCGACACCAGGTTTGCCTGAGTTGCCCAGTGTCTCCAGGGCCCATCTGTGGTGGGAACAGTGAGGTGCCCCTCCTCGCCACCAAGGAAAACCAGCAGCTTCACCTTGGCCTTTTCCTTTGTTGCCAAAATTAAAAGCAAAAACTGTGCATATTGCCTCGCAAGAGCACATCCAAAAGTGACTTGGTGAGCAGTGGCCATGAAAATGAGACATAAAGTGACACGGGGTCATCTGACTATAAAGGGTAGACTGGCAGAGCAAGAATTAGCAAGCCAGTAGCACACCTGCATGAGGGTGTGTGGACAGGAATCGTCTACAAAGGGCTGTCATTTGGTATGTAGGTGCCTGTGTTTTCCTTTAGGCAAAGCTGGGGGAGGTCCTGGTGTTTTTTGCTTTTAAAATGTTGAAGGAACCAAATATTCTTTAACCTTTTGTTCTGAATTTTAGGTTTGGGAGGAAGTTGAGCATTATCAGAGGAATTGTAGAGCAGGAAATTCAAGCTATGGTTTCAAAGAGAGAGAATATTGCCACTCATCATTTATATCAAGCGTGGGACCCTGTCCCTTCTCTGTCTCCAGCTACTACAGGTACCTGTGGGGAGAGGGGCCGCTTGTCCTCGGGCCCGAACAAGAACTCACAGCACCGGGTGGGCAGAAAGACTCGAATCATGGTTTAGTTTGGAGGCTGTGGTACTAAATGTGCTGCCCTAACTCTTAAGTACAAGTCTCACTCAGGACTGGGGAGGTTTTAGCAGCCTTGAGGAAATCACGTCTGGCAGTGAACCGGAGCACCGTCTCTCACCAGTCAAGTTGTAGGAGGCAAAAGAGCTCTTAGAGCCGAGGGACTGGCAGCCTGAGCGGGGTTTTAAAAGCTGAATTAGTCGTTCACGTTAAAAACCAACAGTGTTCATGTAAGCAGTGTGAATCTCAGGCTTCTGGTGAGAAATCCAGTGTGGCAAGATCATGCCAGTGTTCTCAGACAGCCTCTGGAGCCTGGGCATCCCAAGCCCCGCCCTTCCCTGGCCCTGCATGCCGAGTGGTCGGGTGCACCTGTTCCATCTGGGCCTGCAAGTTGTGTGCCTCCCCTGTGATGGGCACGGGAGTTCATCACTCTGGGTTAAAAGAAGGGAATTTTGTGCTTTGTTTGGGTTTTTGTAAAGTCACATGATTTTTGTTGAATAGTATTTTAGCCTAGAGTTTTTGTAATTCTCTAGGATTTTTTAGTTGTTAGGTCCTGCAAGTTTAATCATCTTGAAAGCTTTACCTGGAAAAGATTCTCTGTGGAAGTGCACTATATTTTATACCCCCAAACATTAACTTTACAATTAATTGAATTGAATTGAATTAAACTGAGGACTGTGAACTTGGATGGCCACGGATCCCTGGAGGAGCTTATGGCCAATAGGAGAGATGGGAAGGAAGTGGCATCACTAACTAGCATGGAAGGCAGAAGACAGTAGGTGCTGGGAGAGGTGCAGACAGGGCTCCAGGGGCTCTGAGGAGAGCAGATGCTTCCGGGTTGACAGTCGAGGAATTCTCTTGGAAGAGGGCGTGTTCATGCTAGATTTGGCAAAGAGTTAACCAGGGGCCTTTCAGCTGGGGAGCTGGGGGTGAGGTTGATGCCCCACAGAAGGAAGGGTGAGAGGTCATTGGTTTCAGGCATGGAGGGTATGAAAGACGGTAAGGGATGTGTAGGGAGATGGCTTGAGTGGGGGCATCAGCGTATACCCTGCTCCTGGTGGGCTCAGCTGGATGGCTCAGGCATCAACTCAAGGTCCCAGGAGTTACTGGTTTCTTACAGTGAAAAAGTGATAGTCCAGCTTTGCCCCCACAGGCCCTGCCCGCTTAACAGGTTATCAAGTGACAGAGAAAACCCCAGAGACCCTTGGGGCTCTGCAGAGCTGTGCCATCCCACTAGTGGCTTGGGGTAGGTGGCTACCGGGCAGGCTCTGTGCAGGGTGACGCTCATGGTGTTATCGCTTCACAGGTGCCCTCATCAGCCATGACAAACTTCTGCTGCAGATCAACCCCGAGCGGGAGCTGGGGAACATGAGCTATAAGCTCGGCCAGGTCAGTCACGCCTGCCCCTCACGTCCAGGGCACTTCCTTCAGTTTTCCTCTGTCTCTGTTGTCTTGTTGTCTGTCTTCAGATTTTGGCCATTCAACATTTGGAAGAAAAGTTAAAAGCATTTTTTAAATAAAAGAAAGGTTTTCTTTTAATTGTTTTTAGTTATATTCTTTATTCCAAGAAGGATTTGAGACATTTTATGTATGTAGTGATATCAATGTGTATAAATATACCCAGATAGTATGAGTTAGACTCAGGTGAGAAAGATGAGACAGAGAAGGACAAGGGTCCAGCATGTCGAACAGAGTTAAAGGAGGGTGGCTTGGGTAGAGTGAACACAGAGAATGACTCTTGGTCTGCTGGGCCACAGATTTGCCCACAAGTGTTCCCAGCTGCCCCCTCAGAGGGAAGCATGGTCACACAGCTTACTGTGGCAGATGTACTGGCTCTGGGTGCTAGGTCGACAGCTTACTGGGCGGGTCACTTTGAACTGTGCTTCTGCATCAGAAAAATGGGGATAGTCACACATATGATAGCACAGGTTGGGGGCTGTGAGGGAAGGTTGTGAGGATGGTGGCACAGGTCCTGGAGCTGGGAGGCAGGGTGTGGGGACGGTGGCGCAGGTCATGGAGCCATGAGGCTGAGTGTGGGGATGGTGGCGCAGGTCATAGAGCCATGAGGCCGAGTGTGGGGACAGTGGTGCAGGTTATGGAGCTGTGAGGTGGGGCATTGGGACGGTGGTGTAGGTTGTAGAGCCATGAGGTGGGGTGTGGGGATGGTGGCACAGGTCATAGAGCTAGGAGGCGAGGTGTGGGGACAGTGGTGTAGGTCGTGGAGCCGAGAGGCAAGGTGTGGGGAGGTAGGACGTGAGGACATGTGAGTGCTGGGAGGAGGGGACTCAGTGTTGGTGACCCCAAAGAATGCTCTCTTCACTGCTGTGTTCTTCCTTTCAACGTGTTGCTGGTTTATTTAGAAAGCAATTACACAAGACAGTTTTCTTCTTAGGTTTTGTTTCAGGAGAAATTGGTCAGAATAGTGTTTGGAAGTAATCGTTAGTTCTGAGGTTTCCTCATAAGCTCCAGGCTGCAGCCTTTGCAGTGGAGCCCCCATGACTGCACTGGCGTCCCGAGCTCTGTCCTGTTCTCTCCCGCAAAGCGTTCCTCTGTGAGCAAGAAGCCACAGAGACTCTCGTTCTTTGTCCTTTGTAGAGGAGTTTCCACACCTGCAATAAGTCAAAGTGGTCATTAGAATTCAATATAATTTTGATGGATGTGTGTTCTGAGGAGCAGCCTGTGAGTGAGAAGCCTGAGGCTTGCTGGGCAACACTTGGCTTTGTTCTGGTGTCACTGGCATTTGCCCAACTGCATCCTTCCTTCAGCATCTATGTCCACATCTCACCACCGAGAACTGAACGTAGCGGGGTTACGCCGAGGCTAAGACGTGACTGCACGCGGCCTTGTGTGGGCTGTGTCCCACCTCCCAAATCCCTGAGCCACTACTGGTGTTGGGGAGAAAGGGTGGGGAGTAAGGGGAGTGGAAGGGCCACTCTCTTCCAGCCTGAAGATTGGTTTTAAGGATTCACAGTTTATCTTCCATCTGTGGCAGGCCTTCTGGCAGCCACTGCCAGCCTGCCTGCCCGCTGCCAGTTCCACTGGAGGTGGTGGGATGTGAAGGAGAAAGGCTGTTTGTGCAGAACAGGAGTTGGGGCTGGTGTCACCAGTGATGGGAAACAGCTTTTTCTGGGAATGCAGCCCACGGCCACTTGTTCCCTCACTTGGCAGTGAGGCACCGTGCTTAGTGCTCGAGGATTTCCACAGGAGCAGCATGTGGGAAGACAGGCAGTCATTACGAGAGAGCATGGTCGTCTGAGCTGGATGTGGGCAGGCGTGTGGCGGAGGGGTTAACTCCTGTTCCCAGCACCCTGCCATCCCCGTGGTGGGTTCTCCCCCAGGCCTCCCAAATTCCTCCCACCCTGCCATCTCCAGAATAAGCACATCATCTCTTTTGCATTTGTAGGGGGCTTTTTTTAGCAAGTAATTCAGAAAAATGGGGTTTGCCGCAAGTGACTACCAGTGAGAAAGGTCCAGTTTTGAAAAGAGATCCCGTGTTTTGATTCCATTTTTTCCCAGGACTTCATTCAGATGTCCCTTAGGAGCTAAGTTGTCTTTTCTTGGAGGCTTTTTCCTTCCCCCTTCCTCGGCCAAATCCCATGGGTTGACCACCCCTCGTTCCGGGTTGTTAGTCCTGAAGGTGAGCTTTCTGACCACTCTCTCGGCCCCGGCGCCCCATTCTGTGGGGCTCCTCTGCCTCTGCCCGTAAGCTGGTGGGTCTGAATGAGCCCTGCTAAGTGATGGCGGTGTGCTCACTTCAGAGGACCCGGGCCACACCTGCGGCTCAGGGCCGTTTCCTCCAGGAGCCTGCCGCCTGGCCCCTGAGTGTCGAACCGAGTGTCTTATGTCTGTTGAAGGTGTCAATCCACTCTGTGTGGCTGGGGAACAGCATCACACCCCTGAGAGAGGAGGAGTGGGACGAGGAGGAGGAGGAGGAGGCTGATGTCCCTGCACCTTCGTCAGCACCCACATCTCCAGTCAACTCCAGGTCTCCCATCTGCTTTTTGTTTTAAAGCAATTTACAATTTCTTATTAGTCATTTAATTTGTTGGGGATGCCTCTTGAAATGAACGTCTCATCTTGTGTATGGGGGAAATTATCCATCTTGCATACTCTGCAGGAAACACCGGGCTGGGGTTGATATCCACTCCTGTTCGCAGTTTTTGCTTGAATTGTACAGTCGCTGGATCCTGCCGTCCAGTTCAGCCAGAAGGACCCCTATTATCCTGATCAGTGAAGTGGTTCGATCTGTAAGTTTGCCTTCCTCATTCCCTTCATGTGCACACAGTGCTCATACAGGTGCATATATACACACCACCACTGCCACACACACACCCACAGGTACATATATACACACCGCCACCACCACACACACACAGCGTATGAAGGTGCTTATAGAGACTCACAGATCCAGGATGGTAAAGCAGTATTTCTCGAGCCACTGAAGGAACGGTTTTTTACATTTCCAGTCCATGGCAGGTTGATACTCTTAAGTATGGTAAAAGTGCCATGGAAATGTCACATTGCTATCAGAGTTCTAAAGGCTCACCTTCCTTGTCCATACATATCTCCTCCAGGACCTGTGACAGACGGTCCCAGGACCATGGACCCTGCTTTGAGAAGCACCAATTTAGAGCTGTCCTTCTCAAACTATGGGTCTCAGGGTTTGTTTACATTCTTCAAACTAGTGGGGACCCCAAAGAGCATTTGTTTTTGTTGGTTGTATCTGTTGGCATTTACACTATTGGAAATTAAATCTGAGAAGTTTTAAAAATAGTTACTTGTTAAATCCTGGCTTATCATCTTTACCATCTAGCATCGTCCTGGTTAGTCATCCAGCAAGAAGAAATGAGGATGAAATTCCAGCAAGGAGAAATAAACAGAAAGTTGGAGTTGAAGACCTTAAGTGCTTGCTTTCTGTTCATTTACCAGATAAATAGAACCTTCTACTTTATCCATGCAGCATGGGATTTTTATTATTTTTGCCTAAAGATATCTCTTTCTTTCTTCTTCTTCTTCTTCTTCTTCCTCTTCTTCTTCTTCTTCTTTTGGTGAGGAAGATTGGCCCTGAACTACCATCTGTGCCAATCTTCCTCTATTTTGTATGTGGGATGCGGCCACAGCATGGCTTGACAAGCAGTGTGTAGGGCCACACCTGGGATCTGAACCCCGAACCCTGGGCCACCAAGGGAGAGCATGCCAACTTAATCACTACACCACTGTGCTGGCCCCTAAAGACATCTCTTTTTGATAATGACAAATGTTTCTTTTTTTTTTTCTAAAAGGCCTAGTTTTTCTTAATAAACCTTTGAAGGTTTTTAAATTGTTTCATATCTCGTCAAGTTGAAATTTTTAAGAACCTCATTTTTAATTTGTAATAAAGTTTACAACTTGATTTTTTTCAAAAAAGTCAACAAATGGTAAACACGGTTAATAAAGGTCTTAAATTTTAAAAAGAGGTTACTTATTAATCTATTTAAAATAATAGTAATGGATAACAACTTTTATTTAAAAATAGCAAATTTTTAAATTAGTGAGAAGAGCCTTATTTCACATTTTTGCAAATGTCTTTAACTTCTGGTTTATTGGAAGACAGTTGGGTTCTCATATCTGCTCTCCATTCAGTCTGTTAATGTCAGGTAACTTCTAGAAAACACCACCACACAGTTGGAAGAGAACAGGAGTGAAAAGGTAAATAAGGTCTTGGTGTTATTGTGGACACAGTTTTGTCCTCGTGAACCCCTGAAATCTCCCAGGCGCCCCACATGTCCGCCTTAAGAGCTGCTGCTGCAGACGATCTGCTGACTCCTGCCGGCTGAGTCAGTCACGCTCACCTGTGGCCTCCGAGGAAGGCCACGCCCAACCTTCCCACACGCTCCTAACGAGCAAGGCCTTCACGCCTAACTGATGTTCATTTTTAGATGTGATATGAAGAACTAAGCATTAGGGAACCGAACATCTTTGAGAGATAGAAAGAATCGTTGCCAAAGCGTTTGTTTGTGAGACACTTGCCTGTTCCTCTATCCCAGGGCTTTTGAGAGCCTGTCCCCCTGCGCTGAGGGGACGGCCTGGTATTTGAAAAAGAGCAGATGTGGAGCTTTTCCGCGGCACCTGCGGCAGAGGCTTGTTCCCACACAGGTGTGACTGAGATGAGTGCTCGCCTCTTGCAGTGTGGGTACGCAGAGGCATTTTTAAGAAGATAGCCAGTGACTAGTCTGTCTTCCTGTTCTATGTTTACACTGTGTTTTAGGTTTCCAGGTGTTTGTTGGTTTCTTTTCCCAGGCAGGGGTCCTGTGAATTCCCACATTTTATTGTCTCTTGGACATGAGAATGTGCGTTTTAGACTGGGTTGCTTCCTTTCCTGACTGCGTAACTCCCCGCCTTCTGTCCACATGTTGTGTGTCCCCAGCTTCTGGTGGTCTCAGACTTGTTCACTGAGCGCAGCCAGTTTGAGATGATGTACCTGACACTGACAGAGCTGCGGAGGGTGCACCCTTCAGAAGACGAGATTCTCGTTCAGTACCTGGTGCCTGCCACCTGTAAGGCAGCTGCCGTCCTCGGAATGGTGAGTGAGAGGTGGTGTGGAGGCCACCTTGTGTTGGCCAGATGTTGTGGGTGCGGCCTCAGCCTTGGAAGGTCCGTCCTGAACTCTTCCACAGCCAACGTGAGAAGTCAGGAGGATTCCGTTAATGTCGGTGCTTTTCCACAGGTCACTGTGAAGCGTGTTGTGGTGGGCGAGCCTCAGTTTGGGGCTCCTGTACCCCTTTGTCATCAGGTAGTCACCGTGGCCCATCCCCACAGGAGCGTGGGTTTGCGGGTGGTAGAAGTGTGACTGACTTCTTCTCCACAGCGATCCCCCACTCTCTTCTCTGATGTGCTGCAGACCCCTGTGCTTCCCGCTTGACAGGGCCTCCCTTCTGGGGACAGTTGGTCACAGTAACCCTGCATTTCTGCACCCAAAGTTGGGGTACTATAGTCTGTTCTTCGCATGAGGGCAGACAGCTCCTTCTTCTGAGTTCCTCCTCCTCCTGCCTCTGGCTGACAGGACTCACCAGCGCCGCCACACCCCTTCTCTGTGCGGACGTCACCACACAGCATGCGCTCGGCAGACGTCACGTTGACATGTGAAACTACTTAGATGTGGACCCTGCCATTTGTGGAACATATTAAAGGATATCAGTTTTGCCGTTAGAGAAAAATAAATTAACTCCACACTGTCCAGAACTGGCATCCGTTTGCTCTTTGCCACATAGCATTAGCCAGTAATCTTGGTGTTTTTTACTCAAACATCTCCTGGAATCCATCTTTATGATGACAATAGAGATTCCTTCATGCAACAAACACTGAGTGACTGCCATGTGCTGGGCATTTGGGACCATTGGTAAGTGGCGTAGTGGGGCCTGCCCTGGCCTGCCTGCCCCATGTTCCATGCTCGTGGCTGTCCTAACAGTGACAACGATACTGTGTGCCACTGCAGCAGCCGCTGGTGTTTGCGGAGCCCTTCCTCCTGCACCTGCACATGGCCCTCTCCACGGTCTGACGAAGGCTAGGCCCACTCTTACCTGTTCTGCACTTGAGGAGGCCAAGGCCAGGTGCTTGACTGGCTTGCTCCAGGTCACGCAGGACACGGTAGAGGTGGGGTGTGAGTTCACGTCTGTGATCCAGAGTCCTGACTCTCATCCCCTTCCCAAGTGTACTCCTCTTTAGAATTTGTCCCTCCCAGCCAAGGCTCCAGAGCAGGTATCATCCATCCTGGGTGGCCTTCAGCCCTGGTGCCACCATCCAGGGAGCAGAAACAATCCGTCCATTGGCTTTCCTTCTGTGAGCACATCTCTTCAAAGTGTGCGCCCTCTGGGTATTGAGAGACGGGTAAAGGCAGCTAGACTTGGAGGGGTCCTTTTGTCTTTGTGGGGAGTTTCAGCTGCTGTGTTCATTTTCATTGTAATTGTGTTTTTGTGCTCAGGCCCAGATTGCCCTAGGCAAGTATTGTGTTGTTAGTAAATCAAATAAGTAATAATCATTTTTAAGACGATCCTAAGGCAAGATGACGCATGGACTCGGACTCCCCAGTCCTGATGTGCGCACGGGCATTTTTCTTCAGGACATCATCTTTTGGGAAGGTCGTGGTGTGTGTGCAGACACTGGTGCAGGCAGTGGCATTCCGGAGCTTGCCTATCCCTTTTGAGATGTTGACCCGATGTCGTGAAATCTCCCTCCCTCCCAGCAGATCCTGTGGTGTGTCCTCAGACGTGGGGGCTGGAGCATCGCTGGGGGCAGCCCTAAGGAAGGTGCCACATAGCTCTGTGGTGGGGGGCAGGAGAAGGATGTCCTCAGCAGAGTGTCATCCCTTAGCCGGACCACAGGGACAGAGTCCCTGTGGGAGGTCGCATGGCCAGACAGCAAGGAACAGGATGAGCCTTCCACCGGCAGGGTCACCTCTCCCTGGGTGGGACAGTCTGTGAAATACAGAGGTTGCCACCACCTCTGCCCTGCGAGGATCTTTTCCCTGACAGAGTGAATCTTAGGTGAAGAGCGTGGTGCTGAGTGTTAGGTTTCCACTTAACTCTATCATGTTTAGGATGTTAAATGAAATTGATAACATATTGGTCCAAGGTAGTATAGACTAATGTTGGGGGTCCCCAAAACCCCGAGTTTTTGCTAGGAGGACTCAAGGGGCTCATGTATACTCATGGCCATGATTTATCACAGTGAAAAGATACAAAATGAAATCAACAAAGAGATAAGGCATGTGGGGTAAAGTCCAGCAGAAGCAGGCACCAGCTTCCAGAATCTTCTTCCATGGCATCACAAAAGATGCACTCAGTTCCCCCAGCGGTGTGTTGTGACAACACGTGTGGAGTGCTATACACCAGAAAAGCCCGTCAGAGGCTCAGAGCCAGGGGGCACCTCTGCCTGGCACATCCCCAACTCCAGACCCCCAGGAGGAAAGGGGCATCAGCACAGACCACACTGTTTGTTAGAGTGCTGGGAACCCTCCCGACATCTAGGTTCCCAAGAGCCAGCCCTGCGCACGGGCATCTCAGGGCCTGGCAGTCAGGCCTGCATTGAAGAGCTCTTCCACACGCTGCATCCACTGTAGTGTGAGGCCAGCCCCTTCTTGGCCTCTCCCATTCAATCATGCGACTAGCCTCTGCTTCCTTACCTGTGCTCTAGGACAAGGCCGTGGCAGAGCCAGTCAGCCGCCTGCTGGAGAGCACGCTCAGGAGCAGCCATCTGCCCAGCAAGATTGGGGCCCTACATGGCGTTCTGTACGTGCTGGAGTGTGACCTCCTGGATGACACCGCAAAACAGCTCATCCCAGTCATCAGTGACTATCTCCTCTCCAACCTCAAAGGAGTAGCCCAGTGAGTGGAGCTGGCCAAGGCCTCCCACTTTTGTCTCCCTCCAAGGCTTTTGTCTGGCCAGGGGTGGGGGCCCTTAGAATGGGCTGTGAGAAGAGTGGTGTTACATTCAAAGTGTATGTCAGACCTTGGCCAGATTATGGGCAGGGGTCAGCAGGAACCCAGGTGGGCACCCTTCTCATAGGGATGGTGGCTAAGGTCACTGAGACACAAGGCCACTAGACACTGTCCAATGGGAGTGGCCTGCTATATGTGGCTAAGCGTGGCTGTTGTCTCATGTTTTCAGCTGTGTGAACATTCACAGTCAACAGCATGTGCTGGTGATGTGTGCTACCGCCTTCTACCTGATTGAGAACTATCCTCTGGATGTAGGGCCAGAATTCTCTGCATCAATAATACAGGTGAGTGGCCCCTGGGTGTCTTCCTCTGGAAACAGGAGTGGGCATCCATGCCTTTTCAGCTGTGAGATGGTATCATTGGGTCCATTTTGATTTGGGCAAAGAAGCAAAAGTGACGGGAGGCCTGAAATGGTTCTTTGACTCTGGAGTCTTCCTTCTTGTTCAGATGTGTGGGGTGATGCTGTCTGGAAGTGAGGAGTCCACTCCATCCATCATTTACCACTGCGTCCTGAGGGGCCTGGAGCGCCTCCTGCTCTCCGAGCAGCTCTCCCGGCTGGACGCAGAATCCCTGGTCAAGCTGAGTGTGGACAGAGTGAACGTACACAGCCCACACCGGGCCATGGCGGCCCTGGGCCTGATGCTCACCTGCATGTACACAGGTGAGAGTAAGACCCGGGGACTGACCCAGGCCCACCTGTGCCCGGCAGGTCAATGCCACTGAGCTCCAGACTGTACAGATCTCCTGTCCAAGAGAGAAAGAAGTACACTCATTCGCGGGACACAGACCACAGGCCCCACTCCAGTTCTTAAGGGAGATCCTGGGGCCTAGAGCAGGGGCTGACCGGCTCAAGGTCACATCACTGTGCAGGTGTCATAAGCAAGCCTGGGGAGTAGGCCTGCTAGGGACTCAGGTCACCTGGTTTCAGATCATCTCTAGGAAGTCATCGAACTCCTTTGTGAGTTCAAAGCACTGTGTACAAAGCCTGTCCAGTTTTCCAAATTAAGTAATAATACCGAACAATTTTATTTCAGGAAAGGAGAAAATCAGTCCAGGCAGAACCTCGGACCCCAGCCCTGCTGCCCCAGACAGCGAGTCAGTGATTGTGGCTATGGAACGCGTGTCTGTTCTTTTCGATAGGTAAGAAGCGAAGCCTGCCTTTGCCCGGAACTGCCCTGGAACTTTCACCAGGAGCAGCTGCCTTCATGAGAGTGTGTATGTGTTCTCTTGGTGCTGCCACTGTGGTCCCTCTTGCACCCTGATTGTGCACATGCTTCCCCAGGGCTCTGTAGGAGCGGGGAGGCCTTGGACCCTAGCACCTAGGAGTTTGAAGTTGACCAGCTCCAAGGCCTTTGCAGTGCTTGCCCATCTCTGCTGAAGGTGGGGGCAGTACCCAGCAGTGTGGTGGTATCAGAAGGGGTACATTAATGAGACATGTGGAGGGCTGGCCGTGGAGCCCTGACCAGTGACAGAAACATCTGTTCATCAGACACTGCTGCCTTTGTGAGAGAAGCGACACCCCCTCCCCTCCCAGTCAAGCAGGCTCACATGCGTCCCCTCCAGGGCCATGGGAGGAGCACAGCCTTTGAGCAGTATTAGAAACGACTTCAGGAGACTGTGGGGAAGACTGAGACAATAAACAGAAGCTTCTCTGAGAGTCCGTGATTAACCCCCACCTCCCCACGCTCTGTGCACTTGTGTCCAGGACCGGCTCTGCTGCCACTTCTGCGAAACGGATCAGGCTCTGTGTTTGGCTTTTTCTCCAGGGCAGGGTGCCAAGTTTTGCCCCAGGCCTCTCAGTCCAGGTGACGTGATGTGTCTGTGGCCTTGGGGAGGCCAGTTCTGCACTGCCTGGCCTGGCATCTCCAGTCAGCAGGAAGCCATTGGGATTTCCACAGGAGCATGCTGGGCAGGACTTTCCCTGTGTCCGCTCTGGCCAGATGAGGTGTTCTGAAAAGCCAAGCATGTGTGATATGTTTCCCATGTTGCTTCCATTCCTCACAGATTCATCCAGCAGCACCACAACCAGGTGTGGGGCACAGGGGCCCATAATCAGGTCTCTGCCCTCATGGAGCTCACGTGCCAGTGCTGACAAAATACACATTTTAGCAAGTGGAGTACAAGCATTCAGCTTGATCTCTCTCCAAATACTGGGGACGATACTGGGCTGACAGAAGGTAACTCAGTCGAGAGCATTCTCTAGAAGAGCAGCCTCGCCCATGCTGAGCAACAGCTAGCATCTCTAGGCAGGTGGGTCCAGGCATACCTGGAAGGAGACGTGGGCCAGCTTCTGACTCACTTCCCATGCTCTTCAGTTATATCTAGTTTTGCTGAGTGTGCTAGTAGGGAGTAACAAACATGATGACCATCTTCCAGCATCTAGAAGGACTCTGCTTGGGTGCACATTGTAGGATCTGCTGAGGGAGGAATCAACAGGGGAACACACGGGATCTGAGTTAGACAAGAAACACGTCCTAGCAGACAGCAGTGCTACAGCATCAGAGTGTGGGACGCTGGAAGTTCATGGACGTTTGCACGTGGACAAAAATGAGACGTGACAAGGGCAGTGTTTTTGTTAGGAGTTTTTAAATCTCTTCTGTAATGTCACAACTCCAACCCATTTCTGCTTATTATTTACACGAGTTTAAGATCCCTTTTTGGATTGTTTGCCCCACATGCTTTGTGTGTAGGTCACTGGTGCCATCAGCAAAGGAGGCGGGTTGCCTTTTTGCTCTCATAATGAGTGTTCTAGGAGCCCAGCCCCAGACCCCCCTTGGAAAGCCCCTGAAGGTCCAGGGCGCCTCCCAGTCCTGGATCCGCATCAGGCTGCCCTGAGTGGTCAGCCTGGTTTCAGACAACAGGCTTTCCAGGGCCAGGGTGGAGGGCTGGGAGCTGTGGAGAGTGGGGCAAGGCCCTGATCCGTGTCTCCTCCTTTTAGGATCAGGAAAGGGTTTCCTTGTGAAGCCAGAGTGGTGGCGCGAATCCTTCCTCAGTTTTTAGATGACTTCTTCCCGCCCCAGGACGTCATGAACAAAGTCATTGGAGAGTTTCTGTCCAACCAGCAGCCATACCCGCAGTTCATGGCCACTGTAGTATACAAGGTGAGGGCACGGGGGGCAGGGGAAGCCCCTGAGGTGGGCTGACCCCGGACTTTCCAGACTGGATGCCTTTACCGTCAGAATGTGTTAACCTAGTAGATTTGCCAGGGGGCCTGATTCCTCCCCTTTCAGAACCAGCAACAGCTCTTCACCCAACCTCGGGTGTTGGAATTGTTTCCCTCTCCCTCAGGGCTGCCCCGTGGCCCTGATGCTCCGGCCTCTTCTCCTTCCCAGGTTTTCCAGACTTTGCACAGCACGGGGCAGTCGTCCATGGTCCGGGACTGGGTCATGCTGTCTCTCTCCAACTTCACGCAGAGGGCCCCGGTTGCCATGGCCGTGTGGAGTCTCTCCTGCTTCTTCGTCAGTGCTTCCACCAGCCCGTGGGTTTCAGCAGTGTATCCTTTCCTGGGGCTGCGGCCGGCCTAGGGAACATAGCAGTTCCCACTTGCCACTGTCCTTGCAAACTCTTCTGTCAACGTCTACGTTGATGTTTTATGTTAAAGTTTTTGAAAGCTAACCTCCACAAAACCCCTGATGTCAAGATAGCATTTGCCTTAAGCCCTGAGAGAGTAAAATGTTGACAAGGAAACAGGAAACCATACCAACCAGGACTGCCCCTGAGGCTGGGCCCAGGGTGTTGCTCTGAGGAGTGGAGGGCAAGGGGGACACAGAGGTCCCTGCAGATCTCTTCCCTGTCCACTCTGAGGGTTCTGTGCAGCTGGCTGTGTCACTGATGCTGCTGCTTATTGCCCTTTGTCATTGTGCCTTGTATCATCCTCTTGGGTAAAAGGCTTAAGTAAAAATCCAGTTCCCACCCCAAAAATCCTGGCTGCCAAAAGGGGAAGTTCCTTTTACGTAACAAATTCCCCTTTTGGCAACCATCTCCCAAGACAGACCACAGAGCCTCTGAGCAGACGGCTCTCCTGGTGCTGACAGCAGACCTCGTCCGGCGCGCCTGGGAGGGCCTGGGCAGGGCAGCCATGGCTCTGCCCTCACTCTGGGGGAGCAGGGCTAGCAGGAGCACCAGCCACCAGCGCTGTGCAGGGAGCCAGGCCAGGTAAGTGCTACCGAGAGAAATGTACTCCCTGTAGGGCTCCGGCTTCCTCAGCCAGCTCTGCCTGGCCTATTCCTGCTCCACTGGGCAGAGCCGGGCTTTCTGCTATAGATGGGTGGTGTCCCGGGACGTGTCGTAGACTCGCTGGCAGGAGCCAAGGTGGGAAGCAGCTGCTGCTGCTGGCACAGCCCAGGTCTGCTCCATCCGCTTGTGGGCTGGTCTCAGGCCTTCCTGGGCCTGTATCTCAACCTTTGTCATGGAGGGCGTTCCCAGCTGAGGACAGGGAGATGCTCTCCCCTCTCTTGCAGCCTTGCTCCTTAACTCCCCTGCCAGCCTTCCACACGTCATCAGCAGGATGGGCAAGCTGGAGCAAGTGGACGTTAACCTCTTCTGCCTGGTGGCCACAGACTTTTACAGACACCAAATAGAGGAGGAGCTGGACCGCAGGGCCTTTCAGTCCGTGTTTGAGGTGGTTGCGGCACCAGGAAACCCGTACCACCAACTGCTGACTTGTTTGCGGAATGTCCACAAGGTCTCCACGTGCTGAGCGCCCACCTGGTGTGGCAGTGAGGCAGCACTGGACCCAGGGCCCTGTCTGTGCTGGGGGCACTGGGCACCCCAGGCTGCCCTCACTTTGCCCCATTGGGGAGCCAGGCAGTGTCCCTCCCAGCCGCGTGGCAGAAGCACTCTGTTGCAGAGAATATATGCAGTACTGTTCGGGGTTGAGCCTGAGTCCTCACAGGAAGCAAGAGCAGCTGCGTTGCGAACCCTTCGTGCTATAGCTAGTATTAAATGCCAGCTAACCAGGTGTTTATCTTCCTCCTGATGTTGTCACCAGGTGACAGCTGCTCTTGCATCTGGGACAGAAGTTAAGTCCTCTGCTCTCGCAGGTTGGCCACTAGCCCCCTCTGGTGTCCAGTAGGCAGAAGGCAGTGCCATCAGGCTTTAGAGAGCATTCCCCCAAGGCTCCGCAGTGAGGCTCAGGAAGCCTGGGGCTCGTGGTCCTGCTCCTAGCAGGATGTGCTTGTGGTACCTGGCATCTGGACTGAACGTAGTGGCGTGCGCTCGGTGGAGTGGCTGGGAGCACGACACCCAGCACCATGCTTCCCTTTCTCTGTTTCTTCTCAGGATTTAAAATTTAATTCTATCAGTAAAGAGATTAATTTTAAGGTATCTTTCTATGCCCGTGTAAAGTATGTGCATTGCAAAGTCTATGCTGCATGCCCAGCCTCCATGGAAGTGGACAGGAGCTGGTCCCTCTCCTGCAGTGACTCCCCTCACCCAATTCCTAATTCCTCCTTAATAGGCTGATGGCTTTTCTGTCATTTCTCTGGCTCACTTCACCCTTTTCATGCATTCGTATTTAATCAGAATTTAGAGGAGTGTTAATGTTCAGATGTCTGTATCAGGAACTCTCCATCCAGCCCCAGTCTAAGGATTGAGAAAGTGCCCACTCAGCTGTCCTGTGCGTAGGAGGCACCTTTCTGTGCCGGCTGCAGCTCTTTAGGCTCTGCCACCACCAGTGAGGGACAGCTTCCTGGCACTTCGCCGACCAGGCCAGACTGCTTGGCTGTGAGCAGCCTCTGTCGAATTCAGAGACACCGGCTCTGACATCCTCTGCTCCCGTCCCGAGCTGGCCCAGCTGGTGCTGGCATCCACCCCCCACGTGGCCCTCCTGCATGTTGGGGCTCAGATGCATGCTTGGCCCAGCAGCCCCAAGGGTGTAACTGAGCTACGTTTGTGTCCCTCTTGGTTAAGAGCAAAGCTTGGCATCCTAGCAACTGTCAGAGAAAGACCCCAGCACCTCTGACCTCCTTTTGGCCCAGGAGAATGCAAATGGGGTTCAACCTGGGGAGGCAGGAATGAGATGGACCAGGGCAGTGATTGGCCAACCCACAGCTCCCTCAGAGCTGCTGCTGCTTCCCCAGGCCGGGGCCCTGGACCAGCTTTCTGTTTCCAGGCCCACTGTAGCCAAACCATCAAATGCAAACAAGGCCTGGACCGTCAGGTGACCTTGCTTAGGAGCTCACCAGGCACTTAAAGATGGGGGGTTCTGCATGCTCTCTGACCGTGTGACCCCAGCCAGCACTCTGCCTCCTTGGTTCCCAGAGGCAGCCAGTCACTTGGTCACCGGCATGCTGGTCAGTTTGTCATGAGCTTAAGTACAGTCAGAGTTTTAAGTATTTCGTATGGTAAGTGGAGATCATTTTGAAGCTATTTTCCAGAGTCTGCAAAGGAGGAGGGACCTTTTGGCGCATGGTTGGTTCCCCTCACATCTGTCTGTGCAGGCCTGACGTCTCCCTGCAATGCACACAGCCAGCGGCCTGGAGGCCCTCAAGCTGCCCCCCACACCCCCGGGACTGCTGCTTCCTTCCAGCCCTTTCCTGCTGCAGCAGTTTGAGGCCAGCTGGGTGCAGGATTTACCCACTGCCCGTGCACATGAGGGAGGCCGTGGGGCCTCCTCAGAGCAGCCCTTGGCTTTACCTACCAGCCCTAGCAGAGGCCTTGGCGAGCGAGGGCACGGATGGTGGAAATGGGTCAGGTGTCTGAGCAGGACCTTAAGGGAGGGACTCTACTGAATTTTAATAAGTAAGAAAGTCACCATTCTCCCTCATTCACTTCGGCTCCCATTTCTCATCCTAGCTTTTCCCACAGCCTGCTAGAATGTGAACACAGGAGGGTTTTCCAAACTTTCTGCACTCCCGCCCCCTGGGTTATTTCAGCAGCTCTGAGATAGATCCATCATATGCCGGATGTTGTTCCTGGCTAGATGTTTATACTTGTGAGAAATAACACTGTGAATGTAAAATTTGGAACCATTTCCCTTAGGATTCTTGTCACTGGGCTCAACTGAGAGTTTAATTGGTCTTCTCTAGTTTGTGACGTGACCTAAAACAGTCAGTTGTTAATGAGGGTGCTTGGAACCCAGCTCTGGCCATGATGCCACCCCAAAGACTTGCCTGTGCACCCCAGAGATGGGTATGAGGTGACGGGTGACGTTACTTTACCCACGGACGACGGTGTGTGTATATGCATATGTACATACGTATCTGTAATTATATGTGTGTATATATATATTAGAACACAAATATGCAAGGCCTCTAAAAATGGCCGTGTCAGACCTTTACAGAAGTTGGCTTGTCTTAGACCTGCCACGTGGAGTCTGCTGCGTGACGCGTGACTGAGACTAAGAGTTGGCGTGATTTGCTCGTTAAAATCCCACTAAGATAGTCCACCCTATCAACTCTGTGCAGAAGGGATTAAGATTTTATCGCGTTCCTAAAAGTCTACAGTGAGCACCAATCATATTATCCAAATTTTGTTGAAAATACTAATCTGATTGTCAGGTTTGGGGACTGAGGGGGAGGTTGTTTTTGTTTTGCTGCTGGTGGTATCAGGAAAGATTTGAATGAACCAGGGTGGAATTGTTGGGCGATGCACTTAACCATGTCTTCTCCAGAAATGTGCCTCCCTCTCGCTGGCCCCGCTGGGTGTGCAGGTGACTTTTCCAGCTGCCAAGTGCCCTTCACTATGTTCTCTCTCACTTTGCTGGCAAATGTGTCCTTTCAGGAGAAAAGAATAACACTGAAACACCTCCAGACACCCAGGGTGTAGCATCAGATGAGGCCCTGACCACACACAGACCCCCGTCATCCCCGGGCTCATCTCTGAGCCCTTGGGGCGCGCTTCTGTGAAGCGGAAGTGAGCCCTGCTGTCTCCTCGGCTGGGATGGACTCAACAAAATCACCGAGCTCTGCCAGCTCACAGGCGACACTTCCCTCTGTTGCAGGGGCCTCGGTGGGCTTGGTTCTGTGTGATTTGTGGGGAGTGAAGCTAGTTTCCTCTCGATACCAAGAACGTCCTTCCTACCATACATCCTCACGTTGGCATTTCTCCCTCCCTCTGCAGTGAGCGTCCAAAACCATAGCTGTGGCCAGGGTGAGACTCGGAGCCGTTCCATCTGGTGGGACGTTGGGCAGGCATGGGAAAGTGACCAGGAGCTGCCGGGGCTCACTGGAGAGCTTGGGATGGCTCATAAGAAGAGGCCTGCCCTGAGCTGTGCCCTGTGCTGCTGGCCTGGGCACGTCCTCAGTAGGGAGGGGCCCACTCAGATGGCAGTGAAAACTGACGGTGGTCTGGAAGGCTCAGGGGCCACTCTCCCAAATGCACCTGTCACTTTTTAATGCACTTGAAGGAACCCACTCCCCCTGAGTGCTTCTGGGAGCATCTGGCCCTGGACAGTCACTGTGGAGTTTCTCATTGCAAACGAGGGGTGACCACCGACGCTGGAGGATCGCGGCTGTCGTGGACCTGCCACGTGTGGTTTGGCTTTGAGCTAAGTGGGGTCCCCTGCCCTTATTCGCTGCTTCCTGCTGTGGTAGAGTGGCTGTCAGCAGGGGTTTGAGCTCACACTTCGTCACTGCCGCTGTCCCTACCGTGCTGGGAGCTGGCAGGGCTGTGATGGGCGTGTCCCGGAGCCTGGCCCAGACCTGACTGTCCACTTCCAAGAGGAGAGAGGAGGACTGATGTAAGATGTATATTTAAATTTTTTAAACTGCTGCAAATGTTGTACATCTGAATTAAAGGAAAAAATTAAACCATAAATTGCTGTTCGAGGCCTTCTTTGCTTATGGAGAACCTAGACTCTGCTGAGGGATGGCAGAGCTGGCTGCCACACCAGCAAATGCCCAACGCCTCGGAGGGCCCCCAGGAGGCTGTGTGGTGCGAGTGAGGAAGCAGGCCCAGGCCTGGGCGTGGCTGGTGCTTCCTCTGAGGACCCAACAGACCACAGCGCAGTGCTCTTTCTGCCCGGCAGCCGTGGTTGCAAAAGCCACGTTGGTTAAGTGACTGATCTACTTACACAGGGGCCACGTGTATTTCAGCACTAAGTTTCTGCTTCTGTGTTTGGCCGAGGGCCCTGGAGGGGTGGTAAGGACTGGAGTGCTCACACGGGGCCAGGACCTGGCTTTTGAGGCCTGCTCATGGCCCAGCTGGCCCCTTCGCCTCATTGGCCATTGGCACCCGTGCTCCTGGGCTATAGAGTATGGCGATGCTTCCCTGTCCATTGGGGCTGGTAAGTCCTTCCCGCCCAAAATACCAGCTCTTCCCAAAGTCTTTACTGAGCTAAACAGGGTGCAGTCCTCCTTAGCTCTGGGGAACCCCACCTCTGGAGCCACGGTGGTCAGTGTTGTACCAATGTTGGGGTGTAGAGATTTTACCCACCAATCTGCAGGCAAAAACCCTGGGCTGTGGGCTGCTCAGGGCGGGTACTTCGTAAATGTTTGCTGAAGTCCCATCATTGGTCAGTGGACGGGAGTGATCCCTCCCTCCCTCAGCAGGGCAGTCCTGGAGCCAGCACCGTGGTGAGTGCCCAGAGAGGCGCGAGCATGGTGCAGCCTGACCCCTGCCTTTGGGGTGCAGCGCTGTGACTGTGCACCTGGGCTTCCCCGGTTTCTCTAGCAGCCTTGGGCCCCCTGCCCTCCTGAGGTCACAGGACCCCCTTTCCCTGCACAGGGACAGTGACAGTGTGGTCTTGGCCTGCAGACACCGGCTCGTGACTTAGTCCTGGTGCTGAAGGTGTGGACACTGTTGGCAGGAAACTGCTTGGAGGGCCTTTGGCTGCTGGGCCTGGTGAACAGGCCACATGGGGCTCTGTTCTCACCTCAGTTCTGTGAACACTTGATGGGGGGCACTTCTCTCCAAACTTGTTTCCTCCTGTGTCATACAACTCGATGACCTCAGCCTTCAGAGCTACCTAAGCCATATGCCCATCCCCCATCCAAGCGAGGACAGCCAGACCCTGGCTGGCGCACCTGGACACAACTGGCCTACCTGTTATTTCCAGAAAGAAAAGGTCCCCAGAGCTCCTGGAAAGAAGCAGCCAAGCCCTTTGGTGTGAGTGGACTTGTCTCCAGCACATCCCCCTTTTTCTTCAGAGGAAGCCCCTGCTCCTGACGACACCTGAGAGCCCTTGTAGGGGTGTGGGGGGTGTATCCCTCAGACCGGTCCACACCTCGCCCCTCAGGGCAGCCTGACGGTAGGCCTGAGCGCCACTGGACAAGGCGTTCTGCCAGGGCCCAGGGGCTTGTGGCACAGGGGCGGGCCTGCTTTGTGGCGTCACCGAGGCTTCTTGTGGGAAACCGTGAGCATCTCCTCCTGCAGTTTCCATGGGGTCTCAGGCCTCAGCAGCCTGCCTCCCCCATCTGGTTGGATGGCTCCTCTCCACTGGCCTCCCAAGCAGGAAACCTGGGGCCACTCAGATGGCCTCCTCCCTGTCCTGGTCATGTTCTCTAAGGACCCTAGGGTTGTGGGTGGGCCCAGTGGAGCCATTGGGTCAGGGTTGGGGCCTGCCCACCGAGGCAGAGGGCTGAAAGTTAAGGATCTGTCCTCCCCAAGTATGCAGGTGGTGCCAGCATGGCAAACTGGACCCACTGGTCCCCTGCCCTCAACCATGGGCTAGGCAGCTGGCTGGGGACTCGTGTGAGCATCTGCTGTGGGCCAGGCCATCCTGAAACGAATCGATGCCTCCTCTGGCCAAGATGTCATCCTCTCAACCCTGCCCCCATGCTGTGCCCTGCCCTGCCGCCTCCGGCCCTAGACTCACGCTCCCCACCTCCCCCACCCCCACCACCTCTCCTGCTTCCCTGCCTTTGTCCAGGCCAAGTTCTACTGCCAAACTTCCCTCCCACTGTGATAGGCTCAGCTCACGGCTGCCTGCTCCTGGAAGGTGCTGGAGGCCCTTAGGGGGCATGTCCGCTTCCTGCCCTGGGCTCCCAGGTCAGCCTGCCAGGCTGGGCAGGGCAGGTGCTCATAGTATCGCACGGACTGAGTGTCGGTTCAGAGAGAGAGAGGCGTAGAGGGCAGGGGCCTCTTCTGAGCACAGGTGTCCCCCGGGCTCCCTCTTGCTGAGGCCTGACTGCCCCTTTTCCCTGCAGGTGTTGCCGGATGCCCAGCCCCAGGCCCTCTGCCTCCCCTGCCCGCAGAGACTGAGGTCATGCAGCTGTGCCAAGGTAGGGATCCCCCTCTCCAGCAGAGGACAGACAGATCCCTCCCAGCGGGGGCAGCAGGCCCTGGACCTCCTCCCGCCCAGCTTGTTCTTGTCCTTGGGGGCCCAACATGAGGGCTCTGCTTCAGGCAGCACCCCCAGGACTCCCCCTCCCCGGGGCTTCCACTGCCCACTGAAACCTAAGAAGAGATGGTTGGAGGTCAGCCTTTTACCCTGACTCCCCTGGACGTGCTGGCTAGAGGGCGAGCAGGAGATGTAGACACCTCCTCTGGAACCACCTGGTTGCAAGGACCCTGAGGGTGGACAGTGATGCCCGCAGGCCAGCAGCTGCCTGTGGGAGGCATTGGGACCAGCTGTCCTGGTGTTACTTAGGCTGGGGAGCCTGGGGCATCTGCTTTTCCTGGTTATTCACCAGCCCCAGCCAGGCCAACATGCCAGCCGCTGCCCTCTCCAGAATCTCCAAGGCCGTGCTCTGCTGCCTCCCCCTGGACCCCTGCCCTGTGTGCTGGGAGGCGCAGTAAGACAGTCCCGCTTGGCCCTTGGAGCTGTGATTGATGGAAGGTCCTCAGGTAGGGCAGAGAGCCAGCACTTGGGCCACTTGGGAGCGTCAAATCCTTTGCCTGAGGAGGGGGTACTTCCTGGAGGAGGTGGTCCTAGTCACTCATTGATTCTGCAACTACTCTTGAGTGATCTGTGCCAGGCACCCAGGCCTGGAGGAGTACAGCAGTCATGAGCCCTCCTGGGGCCGCTGCATGGCCAGGCAGTGGTGTCCCTGTGTCCCCAGGTGCCCTCTGAGACCCAGGGAGGAAGGGGCTCCCACAGAAAGCTGACAGCAGGGCCAGGCGTTGACCCAGGAACCTACTGAAGGGGGTGTGGAGGCCCCTCTGAGTGCCCCTGCTGCTCTCTCCCACTGCACTTCCACTTCTGACTGCAGGGAGAAGGGCGCCCCAGCCGGCCTGCCTTATCCTGGGTACCTCCCCTCCTTCCACCCGAGGGCCTCGGCCCCTCCCTCAGGGTCCCAGAGGACTCACTCAGGCCACAAGCTCAGCTCCCCTGTGCTGGGACTCGTCTGTCCACGGTCAGGTGCCTCTACTGACCACAGGCATTTTCAGCCTGGACTTCGTAAGTCCTTCCCCTGAGTTCAGGCCACCACCAGAACCCCACAGGTGACAGGCAGGATCTGACGGGGTGCGCTGAGCCTGTTCACATGAGTGCCTGGCTGGGCACCGTGTGCCTGGGGGCCGGGGCGGGGCTCAACATGGCCATCACGGCCTGTCCAGCAGGTGTGATGGGCTCATGCTGATAAACCGTCTCTCTGAGTTTTATCTTTTACATTTTGAGTGTTGATGCTTTTAGGTGGCGCTTTCTCTCTGCCGTCCCCACAGGCTCCATCACTCTGGTCTCCTGCCCTTGCTAACACTCACTCTGAAGTCTGGGGCCAGCCCCAGTGGGCACCTCAGTCCCTCAACCCCGCCGAGACAGGGGCCCATCGCCAGCCTGGCTCTGAAGCCCAGCTTTGCTGCTGTACACTCCCCCGACCCCCTCACAGTCGCAGCACCTCTCGCTGCCAGCCTTCCCACACGCTCTGGACATCTGGCCTCGCTGCCTCTGCTGACCTGGTCCTTCCCACAATGCCTTTCTGCTTTCTCGAGTGAGCCGGGCCGTTGCTCCTGTCTGTCTCAGTGTAGAGCTCGCCTTTGTCCTACAGTGGCCCCTAACCTAGCCACTGCTGGAGGTCAGCGTCCGTGTCCACTCGGCCTGGCCCTAGAGGCCTCAGGACGAGCCTCAGTCAAGCCTTGGCAGAGGCCCACAGAGGAAGGGTGAGGGTCCCACAGCCCAAGGGCCCTGCCAGTGCCAGCAGCCACCTTGTCCAGGGTTGGCATTGGGGGGCCTCCAAGGAGGTCCCGGGAGGCGGTGGGAGCCTTCGCCCAGGCACGCAGCACTTTGCATTGGCTACGCCATGTGTGCGCTGCCCAGGACTGTGGGCAGAGGAGGGTCGACGGGTGTCCTTCCCAGGGAGCCCGCCAGCCAGGTGCTCGTTCTCGAGGCAGCACAGCATGGGCTCAGACCCAGCTCCGAGCCAGCCTGCCTGGCCCGGCCCCTTGCCCACAGGGTGACCTCACTTCTCTGGCTCTCAGGCTTTTCATCTGTGAAATGAGAATAGCAACAGTGCCAGCCTCCCTCGCAAGAGTGCCCTGAGGATCGAAGAGGGAAACACATCTACAGTGCTTAAAACAGCACCCAGCATTCAGAGAGTGCTCAAATTCTTATTACTATCCGTTTTGCAAGTGTTCCTAACCCAGGGTCACACAGCTGGAAGGTAAAAAATGAAACGAGCTGTCTCAAGGTAGGTCCAATTGGCAGGAGGGAAAAAGCAAGGAAGGACCAAAGTAGAGTAGGAAGACTTCAGAGAGGAGGCGATGCCAGAACAGGGTTTTGAAGAATGAATAGGAGTTTGCCAGTAAGTCCAAAGGCAAAGTCGAGTGATCTACTGGGAAGGGAGGGGGGTTACTTAAGATTGGCCTTTTATCTGTTCATTTTTTTACTCAGCAGCCTTTACCAAACACTTTTCTGTGGGGTGCCAGGGATACAAGGAGCACCCTGCCCTGCCAGGTGGAGGAGAAGGCAGATGGAGCTGATGCAGGGTGGTCAGGGCTGTGATGGGGCTGCCCAGGGTAGGAGGGGCACACACTGTCTGCTTCCAGCTGTTCTCTGCCCTTAAGAACTGTCCTGGCTCCTCGGCCGACCCCACATCACATGGGCCAGCAAGGAGTCCCACTGCAAGGAGGGAAACAGGCAGACTGTGGCAGAGCCAGGGGTCTGCTCAGGGGCGGAGCTCCACTCTCACCCACGGGTGTTTGTACGCTCATGTTTCCCATCATAAAACGTAAGCGTGTTGGCCAGGGGACACTGTGCACGGGGCATCACCAGGGCTGTCTTGGCATGCGTGTGTTGCTGAGGGTCCCTGAGGGTATCTGTCCCTGTGTCTGCCTCCCCTTTCTGTGTCATCTCTGCTCCTCCCACCCCCGTCTGTCTGTCTGTCCTCCTCTCTTGGTCTCTCCGTCCCCCTCTGTTTGCCCCTGGTCTCCTTGCTTGTCTCACCCCAGCTCCCTGTCCTGGCCTCTCCCCGGGCCCCTGCCTGTGTGAACCAGGGCAGGGCTGAGGAGGGGGCTGCAGCCTGGCTCCCACCCCTCTAGAGCTGGTCAGCCCAGCGTAGGCACCTCGCTCTACATGGCCAGGGCTGGCGCAGCCGGGCTGCCAGGCTGAGGCGGGAGGCAGGACCAGGCGCCTGGGCCGCCGGTTTGGGCCTGCCTTGCTCGCTGCAATATTGATGGGCCGTCAGGATGGCCCCGATTCCTGCGCTTTCAGTTAAAAGGTTTCTGTTGTGGTAGCTTATGCAGTTGCTCTGTTGCTATGGAAACGTGACATCAAAATGACGTTTCCCGTTTAAAAGCTTTTAACTAAATTCCTGCCTGTCAGATGTAGGCCCCATTTTGAGCACAGAGCTGCCTTCCAGGAGCAGGGCTCCCTCCCGCCCATGGTGCACAGGCCGCTGCGGCCTCGCCTGAGCGCGCCCCTTTAACCCCGCAGGTGCCTCCAGCATGGCAGCGGCCGAAGTGCCCGGCTACCTTGTGTCTCCTCAGACGGAGAAGCACCGGCGGGCCCGCAACTGGACCGACGCTGAGATGCGCGGCCTCATGCTCGTCTGGGAGGAGTTCTTCGACGAGCTGAAGCAGACCAAGCGCAACGCCAAGGTGTACGAGAAGATGGCCAGCAAGCTGCTCGAGATGACCGGCGAGCGCCGGCTGGGCGAGGAGATCAAGATCAAGATCACCAACATGACCTTCCAGTACAGGTAGGCCGCCGCGGCGTGCCGACTCTGCACGAGGCCTCGGGTCCCTGAGTCCCGCCCCAGGACCAACGGGCCAGCCCGTGCGCACAGCCGAGCCCAGGCTGCTGGGCACTGCTCCTGGCCTCCTCAGAGCCAAGTCAGGAAGAGTGTGGGGTCCCCACCAGGCTGGCCGACATATGGGTCCCTCTGGCTTTGTGGGGGTGGAGCCCCACCGGGTGAGACAGAGCCTAGAGAAACCATTGATGCAGCCTCCCAATGGGGAGGTGGGGAAACTGAGACCCAGCAAGGGCAGGGCTGGGACTGATCAGGCTTTCCTGGGCCTTGGCCAGGGCTGCGCCAAGGACACCTTTGGCACCGTCCCCTAGGCCTCCACAGGTGGCTCCTATTTGGCTTACATACCCCCCCTACCCCAGCCAGGAGACCACAGGCTACCAGCCCAGGCTCGACTCTGCTCAGCAGGGGGGCAGGTGCTGCTACACAGGCAGGGAAACTGAGGCCGAGGTGAGAAGGAGGCTCAGCTCCCAGGCCTGAGTCCTGCCTGGTCCTGACACGCTGTCATTCTCACATCCACTGAGCTCAGCTGTCAACTGTGAGCACAGCACAGCACTGACCTCAGCGTAGGGGAGAGGGGCGTGCAAGGCTGATGTGGAACCCTGAGTGCCCAGGGGGTCCTGCTTGTGGGAGGAGCCTTGTCTGTGGACAGAAGTGGTGGGGACCCAGACCTGGCTCCACCTCTACATCTGCCCTACCCCATGGTGGGCCCTCTGCCCCGGCCACTGAGAGGAGCTTCTAGTCAGGGCCAAAGACAGGACCCCAAGGCAGGGGCAGCTCTGACATCCAGGGAAGGAGGCAGGTATGGCCCCACATGCCCAGCTCCTGGGTACATGGGGCCCAGGCCTATCTGCAGAGGGTCACAGGCAGGGTGAAGGTCATGGATGGGCCAGGGTCTTGCTGGGGTGAAGGTCAGTCAGGAGCTAGCGGCTGTCGGGGGGAACGTGGTGCTGAGAAACTGGTGCCCCCAGTGGTGCTGTGGGTGGCCGGGCAGGGCTTGGCCTGGGGCTGCCCCCAAGAGCTCAGTCTTCAGGCTTTCAGCTGGGCACTGATCCTCCCGGGCCTCCTGGTGGCCGCTGAGGGCAGGGAGTGGATGTGTTACCAGGGCTGGGTACAGACGGGACCCTGCAGGTTTGCCTCAGGCACCTAGAGCCACACTCTGTGGGTGAGAGGATCCCACCACCACCAATCAGTAAGGGGACGACTCCCTACCCTGCCTGGCCTGCGGCCTGCGGCCCACCTGGAGCCTGGAGATGGCAGAGGCTCCGCAGGGCCCTTCACAACTGAAAGGCTGTCTTCAGTTGCATCAACTTAACTTTTTTTGGCCCTTAAGGAGCAGGTCCAGAGGCGGGCCCTATCCAAAGGCCCATTTCTGACCCGCGGCCCCAGCCCCTGCCAGATCCAGGGACCGGAAGCAAGGCAGCTGCCCCAGGTCTGAAGGCATCAGAGTCACTTAGCGTAAATGCTGTTAAATTCCAGCTGCCAGCTCACAGTGCCAGGGCTGAGCTGTCTGCGAGGTGAGCGCGACCCTCTGGCCCCCGTTCACACGGCACGTCCCTCAGTGCCTGGTGCGGAGGGGCTGCAGAGGCGATCCTGGCCCTTTGACCAGCCTCCCGTCTGACTCAGTAATTCATGGGCTCTGATTGGTGTCTGGCCAGGTTATTTATTATTTATCCTGAAAGCCTTCTTCAGAGTCCCAGGGGAGGGATTCTGTTCCATTCCTGGAGGCGGGGGGTGTGGGCCAAGGAGGCCACAGGAGATGAGGGTGCAGCAGAGGCAGGGCCTGGGCCCTCCAGGAGGCCCCACTCCAGCCGCTGCAGGCTGTGTGCGTGGACAGCACCTCACAGTTTATGGAGCACGCACCCACCGCGGCGCCTCACAGCTCCCATTCACCAAGGGGTAAACTGAGGCCCAGAGCAGGAGAGGGACTTGCACAAGACCACATGACGCTGTGACTTGCTGACAAATTCTTTATCTATCTGTCCTCAGAGAGCTCCCCCCCAGCAGAGGCTTTTCTTATTTGCTCATGATAGTTCTTTGTTCATTAAGACTGTCAGGCTAAGGAAGCCTGAGGGGGCGGCCGGGTTCCGTGGAGCGTGGTTTGTTGGAAGGGGCCTCCTGCACCGGGAACAGGCCTTTCCTCATTTCTCTGAGCAGTGGGCCGGCTTGAATGGGGCAGAACAAGAGCTGGGGGCCTCCGGAGGGGCTGGAGGGGAGCCCGGGGGGGCTGGTGTGGGGCCCCCAGCGCAGCCTTTTGCCGCCTGCACCCAGCATCCGCACAGCCCTCCAGGGTGGTGGACAGTGGCGCGGCCGGGAAGACGAGCAGCCGTGCGCTTCCGGGTGTGACCTTTCCTTTGCTTTCTGCTGAGGTCCCTCCGCTTGGTGGATGTTGCTCCCGAAGCCACCTGCTGCCATGACTGGCCTCTGCTTGCTGCCCTGAGCTGCAGACACCCTCACAGTCCACTTGTGCCTGTTTGCTGGGGGCAATTCGTTCACATGGCCAGCTCGTTATTTCCACTGACCAGAGTGCCAGTGGCCATACCCTACAGAGAATGTCGGGAGACAGGAGCCATCTGGCCACAGGGCACTCTGTGGCTCGAAGGCCTCCCTACATTGGGAGGAGCATAGGGCAGGAAGGTGGGGGTCCACAGGCTGAGGCTGGGGTCCTGCAGAGCGCTGGGCTTCAGGAGGCACTGAGTCTGATGGGGCGGAGAGCCCGTCCTCATCCCCTCTTGTCACTTCTTTCCTGGCCTGACCGGGTTGCGTGGTTCTCCTGCAGTCCTCTCTCCCCGTCCTCCACCTCAAGAGGGCCTGCCGGGCCTGTCTGTGGGGGAGGCAGGACACAGGGCCTGGGAGGGGCTTGGGCCCAAGGTGCACAGAGCTGCGCTGTGCAGACCCTAGGCCTGGGGTCTGAGTGAGGATGGGGGTGTCAGGCAGTGTAGGAGGGGCCCTGTCAGGCCCAGCCCTACTGCTCCTGGTACCTTCAGCCAACAATGATATGTGGACAGCTTGGTGTTTGCAGGCTCTCCAGAGGCACCGGGCACTGTCTTATTAAATCCTCCCTAAGCTGTGTGGGGAGCTGGCTTCCATCATCCCCATTTTACTGATGTGAAAATGGAGGCTCAGAGAGGTTAATGATGAACCTGTCCAAAGTCACACAGCAAAGTGGTGGAGACGAGTCACAGACTCAGATCTGTCGGACACTGAATCCTGAGCGGTTCTCTCTCCCAAGGCATCCGCTTTAGAAAAACAAGTTTATTATATTACAGTATTCTATGTTTGTATTATATTACATATAAGTTGCGGTATTATATGCCTATGTTTGTATTGTATTATACATTTTACTATATTACGATATTTTATTATTTCTGGCTAGCTTACTTAAAAGCAGTATTTGTTCATTGCAGGGAGTTTAGATACTACAGAGAAACCGTGGGAATCAGTCCAAGGTCCCTGCACTTACAGATCACCTTGTTCACATCCGGGGCATGTGCTTCCTTTCCAACATCCAAGGCGGAATAGGTCCCGAGCCTGACTTCTTTCTAAGTCCAATGTCACCTTGGCCCTGGAACCTGGCCAGTTTTTCTGGGGAGGCCTGTCTGGCCAAGAGTGGCTCCCGCCTGTGCCACGTGGCTCCCCTGGGTCCCGGAGCCCTGAGTGTCCCTCGCCGAGGGCCCGGCGGGACAGGGCCAGGGCGGCTGTGTTTCTCACCCTTGGCTCTTGTGTCTCTCGTTTCAGGAAATTAAAATGCATGACAGATAGCGAGTCTGTCCCGCCAGACTGGCCCTATTACCTAGCCATTGATAGGATTCTGGCCAAGGTCCCCGAGTCCTGTGATGGCAAACTGCCGGACAGCCAGCAGCCGGGGCCCTCCACGTCCCAGACCGAGGCATCCCTGTCGCCGTCTGCTAAGTCCACCCCTCTGTACTTACCGTATAACCAGTGCTCCTACGAAGGCCGCTTCCAGGACGATCGCTCCGACAGCTCCTCCAGCTTACTGTCCCTTAAGTTCAGGTAGCGTGCGCTCTTCCTTCTCCTGCCCCACACACCAGCGGGGCCAGGAGCCTGGCGTCCAGAGAAGGGGCTGCGAGCGGCAAGGGGCAGCACTGTCATGGCGGTGGCATTCTCTGCCATCCCAGGCTGGCTGCAAAGGGTGAGGCGGTGTATGAGCATCTCCAGGTACAGGGAGGCCTCAGGCCAGAGAGGACTCAGACGAGGCCTCAGACCAGGGGGGGTCTCAGACCAGGGGGGCTTCAGACCAGGGAGGCCTCAGACCAGGGGGGCCTCAGAACAGGGGAGCCTCAGATGGGGAGGCCTCAGACCAGAGGGCTCAGACCAGGGGGGCCACAGACCAGGGGGGCCTCAGATGGGGAGGCCTCAGACCAGAGGGCTCAGACCAGGGGAGCCACAGACCAGGGGGGCCACAGACCAGGGGTTCTCAGATGGGGAGGCCTCAGACGGGGAGGCCTCAGACCAGGGGGCCTCAGATGGGGAGGCCTCAGACCAGGGGGACTCAGACAGGGAGGCCTCAGACCAGAGGGCTCAGACCAGGGGGGCCACAGACCAGGGGGGCCACAGACCAGGGGGGCCTCAGACGGGGAGGTCTCAGACCAGAGGGCTCAGACCAGGGGGGCCACAGACCAGGGGGGCCTCAGACCAGGGGGCCTCAGACCAGGGGGCCTCAGATGGGGAGGACTCAGACGGGGAGGCCTCAGACCAGGGGGACTCAGACCAGGGGGCCTCAGATGGGGAGGACTCAGACGGGGAGGCCTCAGACCAGGGGGACTCAGACCAGGGGGCCTCAGATGGGGAGTTCTCAGACGGGGAGGACTCAGACCAGGGAGGACTCAGACGGAGAAGACTCAGACCAGGGGGCCTTCAAACCAGGGAAGCCTCAGATGGGGAAGCCTCAGCCCAGTGGTGCCTCAGATGGGGAGGCCTCAGACTGGAAGGCAGTCTGTTATGAAGTGTGGGCTGTCATGTGCACAGACCAGGTCTGTCTCCTGGCTCCATCGCCTTTTTAGCTGTGTGGAAAGTCCTTGACCTCTCTGGGCCTCAGTCTCCCTCTGTAACATGGGGATCAATGGGTACCTTCTCCGAGGATGGCTGGGAGTGTCAGGAGAGAGCAGACTCAGCACACACCCCGCGTGTGGAGGGAGGCCAATCGCCATGCCCCATGTGCCCTCCCGGCCTGCCCCTCAGCTTCTGGCTTCCAGGCTCCCCTTCACCCCCAAGTAGACCCTGCCCTTGCTGGGCCGGCTGGTCCTCAGCACAGGGAGGAGGTGCTGGGCTGAGCCTCCAGAGTGTCCTCGGAACCTGGTTGGAGTGGGCATACCCATCCCCTCTGCTGTCCCTCATATGCTTCCAGCAGGGCCTGCTCTGGCCATATGACCCTGCCCTCTAGATGCCCGCAGACAGACGTGCAGGAGACACACCCCTCTGGTGTGCAGGTCAGGGGAGCCAGAGGAGAGGACATTTGGGTTGGGCTTTCAAAGGTGAATAGGAGCTGGCCAGTTGGGGAAGAGAACAGGAAGAGTGGATTTGAGTCTTGGCCCTGCCTTTCCCCAGAGCCCCTGTCTTCAAGTCTGTCATACAGAGGTGAGGTGAGGAAGGCATATCTGGGGGTTGGGGGGGAGCAGGGAGGGTCCCTCCAATTGTGACACCTCCAATGTCAGGGGCTGCTGCTCGGTTTGTCCAGCACCCCTTCCCTGCAGAGATTTCTCAGCGAAGACCCCAGACAAGAATGCCTTTGCTGCCTGCCAGATGGAATTAGCAGGGAAACCTGAGGTCTGTGGCCAGTTGTTTCCATGGGTTGAACCCAGTTCCCAGACTCACAGCGGCCCCGGGCATTGCACAGGGCCCGGCACATGGGGACTGCTGTCCCGCCCTGACATTGGCTAGGTCCCTGCTCTGCTCAGAAGCACAGGGCCTGGGTCAGGGGGTGGATAGGGCCTTGGAGTCTGGTGGGATTTGGCAGCTCCCTGCACACCAGTGGGGGCCAGTTAGACCAGGGATGCCCAGCACCCCCTAGCAGAGAGCCAGAGGACAGCTACTGGCCTGTGCTGCCTTCACCTCCCTGCCTACCAGAGGTTCCGTTCCCGGGGAGGTGGCCCAGGCCTCTACGGGCCCCTCCCTGCTATAGGCACCTGTGTTCCTGGCGTCCCCACCCCCACAGCGTGCTGGTCCCATTCGAGGCCGCCAAGCTGAAGGGGGCCCAGGACCCAGGCCCTTCCTCCTGGGCCTCAGTTTCCACATCTGCCCAAGGCTGGCTGGGACTGGTGGTCTCTAGCTTCCCGGGAGAAGCCACACTGCCCAGCACCCCTCCCACCCAGGCTTCCTCATCTTCCCTGGGGGGCTCTCCCCACTCCTGAGCCCCTCACTGGGCCTGTGCCCCCTGCCCACCCAGCTTAGTGGGTTTGGGGGTGCTCTCATGCAGGGTGAACCCCGCCCCTCCAGACCATAGAGGTTTGGATTGCCCTGTGACCCAATGACTGGGTCACCTCAAGACCCAAAGGACGGCAGAACTTGTGGCCCCCTTGTCCTCTCACTGTCAGGGGACGTGGGTGCACGGATGACAAGGCCCCGAGCATTGGCCTCACTCCCCAGGGCCTCAGTTTCTCATTTGTCCAATATGGTGGTCAGGAGGGTCAGGCAGGGCCCCTGGCCAGGCTCTGTGGCCAGCCACCCACACGCCGGCGCTGTGCTTCCAGGTCAGACGAGCGGCCCGTGAAGAAGCGCAAGGTACAGAGCAGCCACTTCCAGAAGAAGAAGCTGCGACTGCTGGAGGCCATGCTGGAGGAGCAGCGCAAGCTGAGCCGCGCCATGGAGGAGACGTGCCGCGAGGTGCGCCGCGTGCTGGACCAGCAGAACATCCTGCAGGTGCAGAGCCTGCAGCTGCAGGAGCGCATGATGAGCCTGCTCGAGAAGATCATCGCCAAGTCCAATGTCTAGGCCGCTGGGCGGGCAGCCAGGGCCCGGGCTCACTGGGGACGTGACTCAGGCCTGCCCGGGCCTAGCTCGGCACGCTGGTCCAGCCCAGGCCTGGCCGGGTCCCAGAGAAGGGACGGCCTCCATCCTGGCCCCCGGGGGGCTGCTCCTGAATCAGGACTTCCAAGGGGCTTTTTGAGGACCCCGGGCCTTGGAGACCACAAGGCCGCAGTCTCCAGCATTAAAGCCTTCCTCGGACACAAGGCCGTGGACTCCAGGGTCGCTGAAGGGTGATTCCCCAGTAGGAATGTCCTGGAATCTGCTCTCCAACATAGTCACAATCAATGATACTTGAAACAGCTTTTGATATTAAATATGTAATTTTTCATTACTTCCTGGAAGCAGAGTTCACTTTTACTGGCTAGGAGGGGGTGTCCCAGTTGGGCTATTCCAGAAACGGAAGTAGGTGGAAATAGCTTAGTAGCAGGTTTGTGCCCATAAGGAAGTCTCTCCCCAGGGGGAGACAGTTGTTTTCTCCCTCGCCAGGGTCTCCCGCGTCCACCCTAAGGTGGCCTCCAGCGCAGAGCAAACCCCAGAGAGCACCCTGCCCTCCAGGGGCCTTCTGTTCATGTGCCTGGAGCATTGGGTGTTCGACTGCCTCCCTGGTACTGCCCCGAGTACAGCAATGGCTCCTGGTTGACTTCCTGGCTGAAGACACGGTAGGGATGAGACAAAGGCCTGCCTCGCGGGCTTACACCCCAGCAAAGGAGACAAACAAGGGAAATCACAGCAGGTTGTGGTAGGTGCTGGAAGGCAAGGGCCGACCTTAAGGATGAAGAGGGGCTGGACACCGCCAGGGAGGCTGGGCACCGCCAGCGGAAGCCCCCGGAGCAGCACAGCACACGGCCAGGCGATGGAGGGCCGGCTCCCCAAGCCCGTGGGGAGGGCTTCAGCCAGGAAGCTTCTGGCTGCCATACTCTGGATCTGGATCTGGATTCACGGGGTAGGAGGAGCTGGGGATGGGGGCGGCCAGAGCTGCAAGAGAAAGCTCACCGCACTGCCTCTGCCCCTTCGCCAGCAGGAAAACCTTTCCAGAAGGTCCACTGAATTCCTCCTAAGTCTCATTGGCTCCTTGGGCTCTTGGTCACTGGCTGCAAAGGAGGCTGGACACAGGAGTGTCTGATTCTCCCCTGGGACTGTCAAGTTGCTGCCCACACAGCAGGGTCCTGAGGTGACATGATGGGTGGGTAAGTGGCGGGTGACATGGTTTGACTTATGGTCTAGAGAGGCTCCCTCTGGCTATGGCTGGACAGACTGTTGCGGGGGAGTGGAAGCTGGGATCCTGCCAGGAGGCTGCCGTGGTTCGGTCATCCTGATGTGACAGCCACCAGCTCATCTGACCCTCCAGTGGCCCTTGAGGTCAGCCGGGCAGTAACTGGGCTCTGCCAGGTGTCTAACCACACAGGGTCGCCCAGGTGGTCACCCAGATGGTGACTAGGCCAGCCCTAGGCCTGTCTGCGGGGAGAGAGAGGCTGGGTGTTTTGTGGGGCCAGAGGGCAGGCAGGACGCCCCTCCTGAGCAGCCTCGGAGATCTCCCCAGGGCACGTGCTGTGGACTCGAGTCATTTTGCTTTGGGACTGAAGGCAGTAGTGTGTCTGGTGAATGTTTGACCGGCTCTGCAGTGGTGGGATGGAGCCCTAAAGTGTAAACCTGCCAATTTCCGTGGTGTAAATATTCTCACCAAAGCCAGTTTCAGCCACCAACATGACGTCACGGAACCCATAGTTGGGAAGAGATGCGCACAACTGGCTCGAGCGCCCACTGCGAAGGTGCAGGACCTGGAGGCCTCTCGTGCTGAAGCCCTGGGCTGAGGGCTCACCCTGGCTCATTTCTAGCTCAGCTGCCCATCTGCCTCTTAGACAAGATGCCGCCACAAGAACTCACTTCTTTAACAAACCCTGGGCCCTGCTGGGCCGGGCCTGAGCGGGTGCTGGACGGAACCCCGACCATGCGTGCAACCTGTCAGGGCGGCCACGCCCCGAAGTTCCCCCAGGAGGTGACCAAGTGAGGCTGTAAGTTATGGAGCAGGGTCTTCACCTCAGACGTCTTTGCGTTCCTAGAATCACGGCGATGACGTGTTAGTGTTTCAGGAACTGCGCGGCGTCACGTACAATGTATCTTCTAGCACATTTGCATTTGTAGTTAGAGGTCATTTGGTCGATTTTCTTCTCCCTGCTCTCTTCGTCAGAGTCTGGGATCGACTCTGTGTCTGCGTCGGTGGGTGACTTGGCACCGCCCGTGCCCTTGCTTGGGGTGGACAGACTCATTCACCGTCAGGGGGAACTCAGCGTAGAACCGCCTGGATCGCGCCCTTCATAAACAGTGTGCTGGCAACGACTTTCTGTTTTCTTCTGTAGTTATTGGTCAATTAAGGAGGAAAAAGCGACTATTTCAGTAAATGTCAAGATATTTGATAAGATTCAGCAAAACAACATGCTAACACTGAAAACTAAAATCAGGAGCCAGACACGTGCTCAATGTCACCATTACTATTTAACGTTGTTTTGACGTTTATAGCTAATGCATTAAGACAGATGACGCACGCAGAGTAAGAGATGAAATGAAGAAATGAAAATTACCTTTATTTTCAGATAATATTTTTGTATACCCAGAAAACCAACTATACAAAAGATCAAGAGTTCTTTAAACCTGTTAAATATGAGAATGGAAAAATATTCCATTCACAGTTATGATTTAAAACTGTAGAATATGTAGGAGTGACTTTAACCAGAAAGCTATAGGATCTATATGAAGAAAACTATTCAGTTTTATTGAAAAATCTAAAATGATACCTTGATCATGTGGAGAAATTTAGCATACTCCTAAAAGCACCAAAATAAAGTAAAATGTCGTTTGATTAATGTAATTCCAACTATACTCTCTGTAATGTTGTGTTTTTTGTATGTTTTGAAATGGTCGAAATTATTTTTAAATTCATATGAAAAGGAATGGGGCAAAAGGTCCGAGGCCAGTAAACACAGGCAGACACCTCAGCCTCCTGAAGCATGGGGGCTGCAGAATGAAACCCGGACCTGCCATTTCGTCCTTGTGAGATTGGTGTGCCCTCTGTCGGTATGGAAGTTGGGAAGGTCAGGAAACAGAAACTCAGACACTGCTGGTGGGAGCGTAAACTGGCACATCCATCTCGAGGGACGGTTTGGCATTATCTTGTAAAGCTGGAGAAACACACGCTCCAGCTCAGCTCTCCGTTTCTACATGTGCCCCCTCCAGGGTAGCAGACCTCAGACTGTGGTCTCAGGACCCTGTTACAATCCTAAAATTATTGAAGATGCCAAAGAGCTTTTGTTTGTGTGGGTTCTAACTACCAGTATTAGTACCTATTAGATTACCTTATTAGAACTGAAACCTAAGTTTTAAAAAATATTTATTCGTTTCAAAATAAAACACCCATTACCTGTTAACGTGAATAACAATTGCATGAAAAATATGTTTTCCAAAACAAAATGTTGTGGCGAGGAGAGGGGCATTGTGTTACATTTCCTCAGTCTCTGGTGTCAGAGAAGTCGGCCGGGCTCCCGTCGCTGCTCCTGCACTCAGTCTGCTGTTGGATGTTGTTTGGCTGTAGATCATGAGCGTCTTCGGAAATCCAGCTCCCGTGGGTTTGTATTTGGAAAAGAAAGGAATATTTTAATAACATCTGCAGATCGTTGTGGACGTTCTTGCTCGATACTGCACAGAAATTTGACAAATAGTGGTTCCTTAAAGGGTAGTTGCAACGTGGACTCTGAAACCACATCAGTGAGCTTTCGCTTCTGTGTCTCCTTAGCATCCGCTGGTCCATCTTGCACTTCAGTGCATCTTTATCCACGCATGCTTTTGTAACAGCACACGCTGGGCATTTGGAAAATCTTGTTCACTGAGTTACGCAGGTCTTCCAAATGTTGGCGCAGTTCATTAAACAGTACCGAAAACCCACCGTTGTGCATATCACAATCAATCTCGGCAGCAAAGTCTACTTTGAGAAGTGGTGAAGCTCATGGTGGCGGATGCAAGCTTTTCAAAATTACAGTTTGTGCAGGAAACCTTGAATTTTATGATTGGTCACAAATATCATCGGTTGTTTTCCTTGAAGGGACAGGCTCGCTTTGTTCATTTTCAAGAAAACGTCTGCCAGGTACCCAAGTCTGAGTAACTGGAATGTCTGTCAGTCCTTCTTTCAAGTAAAAATTGTGTTCCATTAAAAAAAATGTTTTATATCTATTTCAGCTGGCTACTCAAACAATTGTACACATGCTTCTCCTCAAACAACCGCCATACATGGGGATGGAACAGAAGTACTCTATGTCACTTTCCATTTTATCACAATATATTAAAAAGACATGTACTCATGGGCCAAGATTTAATCAAATTAATCATTGTTACTGCTTTGTCAAGGACATTCTTAAACAAAGCTGGCATTTTTGCTGCAAGTCTGTGGTAGAGAGGACGCAGGACACTACCACAACCATCGCCAGCACTCGGAACACCACAGAGATCCACACGTGGAGTGGGGCTTATGGGGGAGAGGGCTACGTGCAGTCCCAGCCCGGCTTGGTCTCACGTGGGCCCAGTGGGCCCCTGCACCCGTCCTGAGGTTACCTACTCAGTTTCTGAAGCTATAATTGGGCCAAAGAACTGGCCCAATCCCTCACTTGGCCCCTGGAACTGCCCCACCTTCCAAGATAAAAGCCTTGAAAACTGCAGGATTGTGGATTCCTGGCACATCTCGGTTTGGCTTGTGCAAGACAGATGGGTCTTTGAAAACAAAGGTGATCCCCATCAGCTCAGCCCAGTGGGGATGCCATTTGCAGCCACTGTCCCATATGAGGTTTAGGAACTGGAGCAAATCAACACCCCTGCAACCATACACAGCACACCACCTGGCACTTCTCTCTGTCCTGTGAGCAGAGAACACCGGCTGACACTTGGTTGTGCCCTGCAGGGCACTAGCTAACTTCAGTGCTTTCCTTCAAGGCTCTTCAGCAACTTGCTCTACACCACTGTTTGTTCCCAGGGACCCGCATCATCTCATCATCCACGAGAGCCACGTTTATCCACACGGTAATGCCATCACGTCGTCAGACCAGGGGAACAGGAGGGAGCAGGTCTGCCAGGCCGTATGGTGAAACAGACATGCCCATAGGGAAAGGAGGGAGGAGAGAACCCATGAGAATCAGGGGCCTGTGCCCGGGGCACTTGTGGGGCATCAGTGGCCTGGGCCATGTCAGGAGGGCCCTTCAGAGTTAGGGCCGCTCCCTAGGACCAGGTGGCCAGGCGTGCCGAGTCTCTGTGGACTTGGGCAGTGGCATACACCTTGTTAGACCTTGTCGG